CCACCGCTCCCCACGACTGAATACCGAACTCTGGAGCTTGGATCGAGAAATCCCTGGACGCTGACTCTGCAGAGACCCACCCAGGAAACAGCGTGGAGGAAATGGAGCCCAGTGGTCCGGGTCTGTCCCAGGGTCACCTTTCTGGGCTACTCTGAGCTGCGAGATTCCTGTTTCCTGCGGGGAGGGACTCCGAGCCATCGCTTAGCCTGCAAAAGGTCTCCACTCTCAGCCCTGCGACCCAGCCCTGCGGTGGAGAGCTCTGGAACAAGCTGGGAACACGGCTGATTTCGGGAAGGCTTGGGGACACTTAAAGAATCCTGAGATCGCTAGGCGGACACCACTTCTCTGACCACCCCTGCATCTGTCCCTTTCCCCGGGAAGACTGTCAGGGTGGTCTGTAGCCTGTGGTTTCCCCACACGGTTTGACGGGCCCAGTTGAAAGACAGAGGTGGTCATTTCTCTGTCCAAAAAGACTCGAGGTAGAGATGTTCTGCAAAAGGTGGCTGCTAGGGTAGAGGATGTGTCCTGCTTTTCCTGCAGGGTAGCGTGGGGCGCCAGGCCAGCCCAGCAAAGACGGTCCCTGACCCTGACAGCCCTGTGGGCTCTGCTTCTGAGCCTCCAGCCGTTAGCATCAGGTTACGTCCACCTCTGGTCAGCCTCAGCTCTCCAGTTCTGTCTAGGCCGGCCCCGGAGACTGACTCTCCACCAAAGAAGGTAAGGGACTGACCACCTGGTCACATGAGCATAGTCCTAGGCCTACCTTTGAGGCCTTCAGTGTCCCCTGAGCTACACCGCGAGCCTCTCAGCTCTGAGAATGCCCATCACACGTGTACTTCCAAAGTCCCGAAAGATCTGGCGGAGCTGGATATGGTGGTGCAGGCCTGCAGTCCCAGGACCAGGGGGTCACTGCGAAGCCAGCCTGGGCTACATAGCGAGGTTAAAGCCAATTGAACTCTCCCCATTTACAAAACTTTGTCTCCATGTTCCCCTTCTCTTCCCTCTCCCCCCTCCTCAGTCCTCGTTCTCCCCATTTGAACACGCTCTCCTTAAGTCCTAAACTCTGTCCCCTTGGGGCCCATATTTTTCCTTTGGGTTTCTCACATAAAAGAAACAATGCAATATTTAAGCCTGTGTGTCCGGCTTATTTCACGTATGGTTATGGTTTCGAGATGCTTTCATTTTCCTACAAATGACTCAAATTTATCTTTATGGGAGAGTAGTACTCCACTGTACATAAATACATTTTCTGCTGGGTGTGATGGCACACGCCTGTAAACTGAGCACTCAGGAGGATTGCTGTGAGTTCAGAGACAACCTGAACTGCAGAGCAAAACCTGTCTCAAAAAGACAAAAAAAAAAAATCTGTATCTATTCATGTGTTGATGAGCCTATGGGCTGTTTTCAAGAATTAGTTGCCATAAATTGTGCTACTGTAAGCACGGGTGTGCATACATCACTGTGGTGTGCTGCTTTTAACTCTCTCAGGAAGATACGCAGGAGGGGAATAACGGGGTCTAATGGGACCGCCCCCTAGTCCTAGTTTTCTGAGGAATCACCATACTGATTTCCACATGGTTACACCAGTTTACACTCCCACTAGAAATGGAGGAGGAATCATTTCCCCCACAGCCTGGCCCGCACTTGTTCTTGGTTGGTTTCATGATTCTTCTTCGCCATTCTTCTGGAGTGAGATAGAATCTCAGTGTTTTCATTTGTATTTCCCGAATGGGAGCGACGGCAAGCGTTTTTTTCATATACTGTTCATGCTTTTTCTCCTGGGAAGTGTCTCGTCATCTCAGAAGCCACTTGTAGATTGGGCCTTTAGTGTCTCGTCATCTCAGAAGCCACTTGTAGATTGGGCCTTTAGATGCAGGAGTCTGGTTTTTAAAAAGTCCTTATATATTCTAGATATTCGTCCTCTGTCTGAAAAACAGCTGGCAATTTTTTCCCCCATTCTATGGGCTGTCACCGCACTCTTTTGGTGGTTTCTTTTGCATCAAATGCCTTCTTGAAGATCATGTTTTCGCTTCAGATTTGACATACTGTCAGTTACTAAAACTTTTTTAAACTTTTTTTGTAAATGTCTTAAATTCATCTCATGACTGGCTGCGGTGGCAGTGCACCCCGATAATCCCAGCGCTCTGGAGCCTGCGGCAGGAGCACTGCTGTGAGTTTGAGGCCAGCCCGGGCAGTGAGTTCAGGGTGGACCTGAACCGCACAGGGAGCTCCTGTCTCGCCAGCCCCTCAGTACATACCAGACTCACCCCGTCCCACAGTACTGTGCTGCAAGCTGCAGGCACTCCTAAGCCAACCCTGGCCTCCCACCCCTCGTGCTAATTACAGCATTTGTCTAGCTAGCATAGGTGTGGGACTGGTCTAGCATAGTTACAGCACTACACGTTCTGTTTGTGTTTATTGTATCTCCATTCTCCTCAGATTATAAACCCAGCAGGGCAGGGCTTTTCGTGTCATTGTTCACTGCTGTATTCCCCGGCCTTCAACACGCACTGTCTATTACACAGCAGGCTTTAATAAAACACACAGCACATTCTTGCTTGGTTTTTCACCTGCTCCCGAAAGCTTCTGCTGACACCCTCCAGCCGCCCACCGGCTAAGATGCCTCTTCTCTTCCCCAAGTCCTCCCAGCACACTACGCAGCCCTTAGCTCCGGTTGTGTTGTGATTCTGTTTTCCCAGGAGCCCAGGAGCTCATGCACAGGGTCCAGCACTAGCTTGACCGGAAGTGATCAGTTCCTGCAAGCTTTGACTCGCACTCACACAGCGGGCCGGTAAGGAACGCTCTCTTAACTTAGTCTTCCAGCGAGACGTAGGCTCTGGCCACAGCCCAAGGGTCTCATTTCTCACCGTGTCCAGCGGTCACTTCCTCCTTCATCAGCTTGGCTCCAGGGCTGCAGGGCTCCAGGAGTGCGTGCAGCCCTTCACAGCAGGCTCGCTGGGCACCGCACGGCCGGCCACTTCCCGTCCACCTGGTCCCAGCTCTTCAGCGCCCTCAGATGAGAAACCTGAAGGCAGGCTGGCGGGGAGTGCGCTGACTCCTACCCACCAGCGCGCTCCTGGAGAGGGGTGGCGACAAACACAGGCGAGAGGCCTGCTTGTAGATTGCTCCTAGAAGCTGCACCGAAATTTAAACATGTAAATATAGTGCTTTATATTTTACATAGAAAATATAAAATTAGAGGCCCTAAGCCAACAGTTAGCAAAGACACCCTCCGTCCCTAAATCAAAGCGACTCTGGCTGTAGGAGCGTCGTGGGGTAAAGGAAGCAGCTCAGAGGGCGGCGGCAGAGCCCAGAGGTTAGGATCCCAGCGCCAGTGCACTGTTGCGTCTTGCTAGGTAACCTCTGATGTCCCACGAATGGCAGCATTTTTCAGTAGGACAGCCAAGAATTTTGGGCGAAACTAACCTCCGTGTTGCGCACTCTCCTACAAAAACAGGATAGACCCCGAGAATATTGAATTTTGCCACAAAATGTCATCACAAAGCCCTCTCCCGAGCTAATAAAGGCACCGCTGGGATTCGAACCCAGGATCTCCTGTTTACTAGACAGGCGCTTTAACCAACTAAGCCACAGCGCCAGGGCTGCAGAACATTTTTTCTAGGAAGCCCTACAGGAAAATACGACTTGAAACAACATGTTCTCTAAAACAAATTTAGCGGATTCTGCACCAGCCAGCCAGCCCCATATCCCTGCGACTTCCCACTGGTGAAGGAAATAAGACTCACTAGACTGGCGCGCACGCTTGGGAAACAGGATTCGGAGGCTCCAGGGCAAGGGTCCCCAGGGCACGGCAACGGGTCCGGTTTGCGTCTTGGCTTCATGGCTGGTGACGAGGGGCGTAAGGGAAGAAGAAAAAAAAGAGCACGTAGTCGGCAGGATTCGAACCTGCGCGGGGAGACCCCAATGGATTTCTAGTCCATCGCCTTAACCACTCGGCCACGACTACACGGCGCTGGCTGCGACTTCTGTCCTTTTAGGGTTCTGCTCGCCTCGCCCACGCTCCCCCCACACGGCGGCCGCTGAGTCCACTTGCATCCCGCGTTTCTAAAACCCTCCTTTGCCATCTCCCCAGCGCCCCCAGCGTCGCCCAGCAGCGGCCTCCGGGAAAGGACGGGCGGGCGGCTAGGAGCCCTCCCCCGCTCTCCCTCCCTCTGCGGAGCCCCGCAGGCTGGTGTGAGAGGCGCGAGTGGCGCTCGGGCGGAGGGCAGGAGCGGGCGGGAGGAAAAACACTACCGGACAGCAGCCTCCAAAAGGCTAAGCCCTGGCCCGTACGGGGATCGAACCCGCGACCTTGGCGTTATTAGCACCACGCTCTAACCAACTGAGCTAACCGGCCAGCTGCTGGTGTGCAGTGCCTCCTTCCTCTAGATAACTACTCCTGAAGTGTGGGCCCGTGTTCCAACCCACAAGGGGTAGTTGATGCCGAGGACTTTTCTAAACAAAACGAAGTCTGTTTATTTTTGCTTAGGGAGAGGAAATGCTCCCTCAGCAGCTTTGAGAAGCGCGACGAGGCTCTAAGGCTCCATCTGGCGAGTCGCTCTCAGGAAAGAAATGCAATTACACGCAGAGCGGCATCGCCCTGGGCCGCGGCCGTTTCTACAGTCCCCGACTGTGTGCAGCGCTTCAGGGGGGCTGGCACGCCCCTCTGCTGCCGGCCGGTCTCCTGACACCCGGGAGGCTCTGCCCCAGGGAAGCCCTAAGTGTGCGGCCCGGCTCCCTCCCGGGGCTCGGCACTTGGACGCCGGCTTCCTCCTCTTCCTCTCGCAAGGCCTCTGGGCTCTTCGCTTCACCCAGGCCAGCCGTGCCCACCGCGGGCACCGAGGCCCTATCTTCACCTGACTCCCTCGCTCCCTGGAGGGCCTCACCGGCTCCTCCCTCGCTGGCCCAGCAGCTTTTCTCCAGTCCACTCTGCACTCTGCACGGTGGTAAACACATGGCTGAGACGACGCGAAGGCCGGGGCCAGGAAATGTGGCAGCGGAGATGAGCACAGGAGAAACAGCCGCGGGGAGCTTTATTGGAGCGCAGGGCCTGGGACAGCACCCTCCCGAGGGGCAAGGCTTCCGTCCTGCAGGCTGAGCCGCCTACTGCCAGCTGCGTGCAGGTGTCCAGACCCCATCAGAGGAGGAGTCCCCTGCCACCACTTGCTGTTCCCACACCAGCCCCAGAAGCCTGGCACTGGTCTAAGTCACAGTAGGGTAGCAGTTGGTGAACCAAGAGATACGGGGCCCAGGTTCAGTGACAGAAGGTGCCGCAAGAAGAGGACAGGGCTGGAACCCAGGCCTCGAGGTTCCCCAGGCAGGAAAAACTTCAGGCCATCTGTGCAGTTCAGGTCAACAGGGGGAGGCACGGGCCCCCAGGGGGCCGGGGAGCTGCGGCTCCCGGATAGAGAGACAAGTCAGTCTCAGCCTGGGATTCAGCCTGGTCAGGACAGGGAGCTCTCCACACTGGAACCGCTGGAGCCGTGGAGGTTCTGAAATGGGAGGAGAAAAACACACCCCACACAAAGGCAGGGCTGAAGGCATGTATCAGTCCACACCACCATTCCCCTCCCCCGGTCCAGCAATTCCCCATCAGTCCTTCACCCCTTCCCCAGGAACCCCCTGCACGTACTAGCCTTACCTAAGGGGCCAATATTACAGGGCCTCCTCTCCAGCTCAAAAGAAAGCTCCACAGGGCGGAGGACAGCGGGGCTGGTACAAAGCGCCCTGAGGAAGAGTGTCAAGGGCCCGATCTTCTCAGCGGAGGACTAGAAAGGGAACAGAGTCACCAGAGCCCACGCGCTCACGTCTCAGGCAAACCCTGGAGCCTGGGTAGTCCAGCCCCTTCTCTTGGTCACATCTCACCTCCAGGTGGGCTCCAGGCCGAGTGAACTGCAAGGCTACTCTACCTGGCCCTCGGGCAGACTCCAGCAGGGAGGTCCACTCACTAGGACACAGCCCCAGTGCTTCCGTCACATGATGATTCTTACAGGTCACCATGGCTTCAGCAGTCCCGTCCTCCACCAGAAGCCTAGAGAAAGACGAGGCAGAACTCCCAGAGCAAACCCGGGCTTGCCAATCCCCTGAACCCAACCAACCTTGCTCCCCACCATTTCCAGCCTCTTTTCCCCCATTCATTCAAAAATATTAGGCAGCGCCAAGGAGCGGGAATTATGCTAACAGAGACAGGTGAAGCCCGTCTAACAAGGGGCTCAGTGCAGTGGGTGCCCACCTGATGCTGGCCTGGCTTACTGACGTCTGAGTGGGGCAGGAGGGATCCTGACGAGTGCACCTTCCCTGGGATGAAAAAGGAGGTGCGGAGTCTGAGGGTTCCATCTCAGCCCTCTGGCTGCCACACCCAGCTCAACTGAGCCTCCTGCTACCTGGAGACAGACGCTGCTACAATGGGCACACACCCACTGAAGCTCCAGGCTGAAGACAGAAACCACGTGGCAAGACGCAGTGGCACGGAGGGGGGCCCGTCCACCGTGCAGCTCAGCCAGGTAGATGTGAGGCAGGGGAACGCTAAGGAGACACAGAGAGGCCAGGGTCAGGAGACAAGCAGACAGCTGGAGGCACTGGCACATCCTGTGACCCCAGCACCTGGGAGGCTCAGGCAGGATGACCTCAGACTGAAGAGCATCCTGAGCAGCTAAGCAAATCATCATCAGCTACTTCTCAGGCTTCTACGCCAGGATGCTAATTAACCAAGAGACATGCTTCTTAGACTGAAAACCATTTAAAAACCTAGAACAAACATTGTTCGATGACATGACAGCACTGGGCAGTTTTTATTTAGAGCAGGGGAAATCCTGACCAACACACTCTTCTAGGGCTGCAGAAGACTCTAGCTGTGGCAAAAGCCCTAGCGCGGGGGACATGAGTGGGAGAGACGGGGGTGCGAGACCGTGAGGTTTAGGGACCGGGGACTGGGCGCTGACCTCACTGTGGTCTCCGGGGGAAAGCTCAGGACCTGTACATGAGTGGATGACTGGAAACAGCAGTAGACATTGTGGGATCTGTGAGGGGAGAAGAACAGTCATGAGGAAGAGAAAGCAGGCAGACCGGGGTGCAGCTGTACTCAAGAGATCTGCTTGACAGGGTTGGCTCCCCTCACCCGAAGAACGGACCCTGGAACTGGCTTTTCCAAAGCAGAGGGAAGAATAAGGGAAGGACTGGCCTGCAGCACCTCAGCAGGGTAGAGGGCATATGTCACAACTAACATATTCGAAGTAGGCAAAGCTGGGTGTGGCGGCACATGCCTATCATCCTGGGGGCACTTGGAAACTGAGGCAGAGGATCACTGCAAGTTCGAGGCCAGCCTGGTCTACAAAGTGAGCTCAAGGCCAGTGTGAACTACATACACCCTGTCTCAAAAAGACAAAAAAAAAAAAAAAAAAAAAAAAAGCAAAGAAGCAGGTGTGGGATGATCCCAGTATTGTTGGCAGGTGAAACAGAAGCAGCCTGGGAAATGTAGCAATGTAGTCAGACCCTGCCTCAAAATAAAAAACACAAACGGGGCGGGCACGTAGCTCAGTGTGGAGGCCCCTGGTCCACTCCTCAGTGGCGGGAGTGGCGGGGGGAGAACAGAGAAGCAGCAAGCCAAGAGCCGTCCCTGCAGCCAGCCGAGCTGGGGGAGCTGAGCAGCAGAGCAGCGGGCCAGCAGGGAAGGAGCGCGCCACAGGCAGGGTCCCCACCTGGAAACCCTCTTCTCCAGCCGGCTGAAGTGCACGCGGGCTCCAGGCAGGAGCCCCAGGGGGACGGGCAAGTGTGGCTCTTCCATATACACGTCCAGGTGCGGGGGGAACTCGCAGTGAGCAGTCCCGAGCGCCACGGTTAGCTTCACACACCTCCTCGGGGCCCGGGCGCTCCCTGCAGGAGGACAGGGGCCAAAGGGATCTGCCAGGACCACAGTCCCATCACTACTGCACACCTGCCCCCAGGAAAGGTCATTACCAGGCTTTGTCCAGCAACGGCCCAGAAGTGGCCCACACACCGTCCGTGACAAAATCTCAGCTGAGAAAGACACCAAGGAATCGGTGAAACTGCAAAGTGAAACACACCAGGACACGGGGCGGAAGGTTAAGAACGGTGAGGATAAAGCCAGGACAGAAACAAGAGCCACAGTATCTGCTGCAACGTCGTGTGGAAAGTCTCGAGCTGGGCGTGGTGGGCCACATCTGGAAGCCCAGCGCTTGGGGGGCTGAGGAAAGGGGATTGCTGTGAGTTCCAGGCCAGCCTGGGCTGTAAAATGGGTTCCAGGCCAGCCTGAACTGCATAGTGAGACCCTGTCTCAAAAAGACAACAACAACAAAAGTCTTGGAAAACTGGGGCTCTGCCAAAATGCTTACTGACAGTAACAGAACATGAATTTCAGGCTTGAAGCAGGATACTCAAAACCTGTACAATTTTAAAACAAAAAACAATGAAATCTATGCCACTTTGGAAGCAGAGGCCTTCCTAGAGGATTCCCTTCAGTCCACACTTCCATTTGTACCTACAGTCTCTGTCAACCTGTCACTTACAGTCTATGCCTTGAGCTCAGCCCGCTTCCCCCTCAAAATACAGGTCTTTGGAAAGGTAGTTTTTGGGGAGTGTCTCACTATGTAGCTCAGACTTAACCTGGAGCTCCCAATCCTCTCCCCTCAGCCTCCTGAATGCTAGGATTACAAATGTAGCCAAAACATTTGCTTTCTTTTTTCTTTTTAAAGGCAGGGGTATGCTATATGGTTCACACTGGCCTTGAACTCACTGTTTGCAGCAATCCCCTGCCTCAGTCTTTCAAGTGCTAGGATTACAGGCATGCACCACCACGCTTGGCTCAAAAAGCTTACATGTGAAATACTGTTCCTACAACCACCATCCAGGCACTTGCACTAAACAAAAGCCTGTCTCTACATTTTCAGCTTTCCCCATATATGTTCTGGTCTCTCCTGCTTTCTCTCGTTGCTAAAGCTTTTCCTCTAGTGTGAGAATACTTCCTGTGGCCATCTCAAACGGTCATGCACGACCTGAGCGTGCAGCTCAATGGCACAGCGCCTGCCAAGCAAGCGCCGAGTCAGGAGTTTGATTCTGGGTACTAACAAAAAGCCATACGATAGGGGAAAAATAGGAATCACAGCTCCCTTCTTACACGGACATTATTCCTCTACAGCTGTATCACATTAAAGAGATGTCTTGCTTGAGTGCAATGGTACAGTCCACAGTACCAGCTACTATGGAGAGTGAGGCCCGAGGACTGTCCAAGGCCAGGCTGGGCAACACAGAAAGGGAGGAGGGCAGGTGGGGACACGCACTGTAGAGAAGGGACTCCTGCCCAAACCCAGGCTGTGCAGAGAAGACAGTGCAGCCAAACTGACCAGAGGAACTGGTGGACACCTACTTCCCACTGAGCAGGCTGGGCAGGGAAGACTCAGGCAGCGCCCTCTGCAGGCTGAGCGCTTCGGGCACATCCTGGGAGCTCTCAGGTTCCAGGGTCCACTCATCCTGGACAGTGAGGCAAGACCCACCAGCAGCCAACTCCAGAGGACGCCGAGACACACAGGATGCACCCTCTGCCTCAAACAACATTGGCGTCTGCCAGAACACAGGGAGACAACGCCTCTGAGTGTCCAGGCCGAGGGAAGGTCACGAAACCCCCCAGGGTTGCTTCTTCCTGCAGTCTGGTGAAGAGATGGCAACCCCGACAGGCCCAGCCCCTTAGGAGACCTGAGGGGCCAGCTGGCACGCCTCTCCCAGACCCCAGCCCGACACAGCTTGCTGGGGAAGGGAGGGATGAGCCGGCACTCACGGAGGGAGGGGCGACAAGACGGTACACTTGCCCTGGGTGCAAGAACGCAAACCAGCGGACTGAGGAGCCGCGGAAGAGGAGGAGAACCTGTACGGAGGACAGCAGGGGCCTATGGGCCAGCCCGGTGCTTGGGCACGAGGCCAGGCCACAGGCACCAAGAGCCCCACTTTACCTTCTGGTCCCTGTTCTCCTCTTTCAGGGGTTCAGGTGGGCCCCATCCAGTCCCCATCTTCCTCTGGGTGCCCCCGAGCCAGACCCCTGACACCTGGAAACTGAAGGTGGGTTTGAGCACCTCTGTGCTGGCCCTTGAGGACGCACAAAAATTCAGCTTCATGAGTGTCTCCTTGTGGGACAGCACGAAGAGCCGGCTCTGTCCCTCAGGAGGCTGCTCGAGGCAGGAGGGCTCCATCTGAGCAGACGCTGGGCTAGTGACTGAATGAGGTGCAGATCTGGGCACCGGCAGGATCAGGCAGTCAGCAAGAAAGATCTGGATGTAGACTCTGTTGGGGAGACAGGGACAGATCTCTTGGTGGCGCAGAGACTGTGTGTTCTGGGTCCCAGTGTTCCCTCACTTGGATTCAGGAGGACCCACCACCCCAGGAAACTGACCTGGCCTTCTGCTTCTGGATGAAGTCTGCCACGCCCAGCTCCTTCCAGGAAGGAAAGTTGCTCTTGACATTCCTCTCTACAACCAGCTGGAACCTCTCTGCCCGAACCAGGCAGCCTAGAGGAAGAAAGTTCTCTATTTTGGCAAGAAAAGAACCGTAGGGTGAGTGGTCAGGCGGAACACCCCACAGGTGCTGCTGCCCGTCCAAAGCCAGGGCTGATTTGCTGCACACCTCACCTGACCTCCACCTCCCAGGGGCCAAGAAACCACTGCATCTGCAGGCACCACCCTGCTGCTCTTTGTTGTTTTGTGGTTTATCCCAAGAGAAAAATCCTTATTGTGAGGATTCCCAGGGTGATGCGTGACGGCACACGGTGCTCCTGAGCTGCTATCTCAGCTACTCAGGAGGCCGAGGCAGGAGCGTCACAAGTTCGAGCCTGGCCTGGGGAACTTAGTAAGACCTGTTTCAAAATTTTAAAAAGAGGCTGGAGACGTAGCTCAGAGCTCCTGCCACTGTTCTGGTTGTACTTTTTCACAAATTCCTAAAATGGCTGTTCCTAATTCTCAGTACTTTCCCTCCTAGAGGTTTCCTTTCCACAAATCCTAGTAAATCCAGTAAGACCATTGTTCTTGGGGCTGGGGATTTAGCTCAACGGCATAAGTGCCTGACTTGCAAGCAGGCAGTCGTGAGTTCAATCCCTGGTACCGATAAAAAGGAAAAGACAAAAAAAAAAAAAAAAAAAAACAAAAGACCATTGTTCTTCCAAGCCAAGAAGGCAAGAAACAGGCGCTGGAACCCTGGCACGCACATTAGGAGCCGGGGAGAAAGCACATGGGAGCTGCAGTTCTGGCGGAGGGGCTCCCGCTCTGCCAACCTGCCGTGCCAGTTCCTCCTCAACGTGTGTCACTTTAGCATCTCCGTAAACCCCGGCAGACGCTTCTCACTCTCAGGTCTAAAAACCCCTCCTTACCAGCACCCCCTTTCCGGCCCTGAACTCATACCGATGAGCCGAGAGTCAGTGACAGGCTGAGAGTCCTGGGCCAGGAGCAAGCAGGGCAGGGCACCACTTTGGTCCCGAAGACACAGATAACCTTTACGCGATGAAGCCACCAGGACTCCAACTAAAACCTGTAGGAGGAGGCAGGCATGTGACACTCCTGTAAGCCAAGCCGCAGTATCACCACACACTCGAGGGCAGCCTAGGGTAACAGTGAGTTCAAGGCCAGCCTGAACTACAAAGCAAGACCCTGGCAGAAAACAAAACAACCTACAGGAAGGATACAGGCCTCAACCTATAGAATGAGTCCCCCTGGTACTGGGGATTGAACCCAGGGCCTTCTCACAAAGCTACGCCCCCAGTTTCTTATTTTCTGATTTGAGCAAGGTCTCACTGAATTGTCTAGTCTGGGCTTGACTATACCATCCTGCTTTGGTTTCCAGAGTGCTAGGGTTATAGATGTGCGTCACCAGCCCCAGCCCCTCAAACATGAGCATACAAAGTGAACCAAAGGGGGGGCTGGGGATTTAGCTCAGCGGCATAAGTGCCTGCCTTGCAAACAGGCGGTCGTGAGTTCCATCCCTGGTACCAATAAAAATGAAAAAGACAAAAAAAAAAAAAAAAAAAAAAAAAAGTGAACCAAAGGGTTCCCTCTCAGGAGGGAAAATGGATAGGAAACACACAAAAACAGTCACATACACAGTAGCAAGAAACACAGCGCAGGACTGGAGCTAGAGTAGGCCTGTCCGAAACCATGAGTTTGCATTTATTGTATGTGCACTGACAGAAAGTGTCTGAACAACAAAAGGCTTAAACAAGTGAATTCTGTCATCTAAGTTATGTTGTTACCGCTCACTCTCTAGTTGCTGCAGGGAGAATCAAATGGTGGGGACCAAGAGTGGACAGGGCCACCTAGTCAGCAGGCTGGTATAGCTGGGTGTGGTGGCCATACCTGTAAGCCCAGAACTCCGGAGGCTGAGGCAGGAGGGTCACCGTGAGTGTGAGGCCAGCCTGGGCTATATAAGTGAGTTCCAGGCCAGTCCGCACTACACAGTGAGACCCAGCTGAACAAAACAGAACGGCTGGTATAATTAAAATGACCAATAAAACGACTGTAACTTGGACTTGAATAGTGGCAAGAGGAAGCCGCTGAGCCCTCTGGAGCCCTTACCTGGGCTGGACAGAAAGCAGAGGGCCGAATACAGAACCAGGACCAGGCGAGGCGCTGATTGAGCTGGCAGCTGGTCAGGTAGGCAGCCTCTGGGAGGGGCAGAAGGGCCTTTGGGTCAAAGGAGGCCCAAGCCTTCTGCTGCCCTTCTGCTGCCAGTGCATCCAGGGTGGGGAAAGAGCAGGGGGTCTGCAGCCGAACATACTGTCCAGAAGAGGGGACATCAGGTTGCGTCCTCCGTGCCCCGTGTCCTCCAGCACATCAGTGCTGCCACCCACCTTCCCTGCAGCCTCGTACTTTATCCTCGTACTTTCTGGAGGGGACAGCGATGGGGCTCCTCAAGGATCTCACTGTGTACATTCCGCCTGGCGCTGCCGGGTGGAGCCAGGTCATTCAGGGCAGGAGCCAGGAGCTGCAGTCCCAGGCTGGGGTGTGCAGGAGAGGAATGCTGCAGGAACTGGCCGTGTCTCAGCATGTGGGGACACAGCCTTGGCCAAGAAAGGCAACGCAGTTACTTCCCCCGAAGTCCCTGTCCCTTCCATGATCCTGCTTCCCCCACAGAGAAACTGTCCTCCCCACCCGCCTCCCTGGCCCAGGCCCTCCTGGTCCTCACTTGCAGGCCAGCTCCACCAGGGCCCTGCTGGCCCAAAGGTAGAGGGGAAGCCCTAACTGGTGCTTCCATATCAGCTGTTCATACAAGGGGGCCCCGTGAACTTGGTGGGATGACTGAGCGCCAGGCTTCTGACAGGAAAAGGCCCGAAGCAGAACAGCTCCGTGGAGGCAGGGTGCCAGCACTGGCCTTTCTGTCCCTCCACCCAGTAACTGGAGAAGATGGACGTCCCGGAGCTGCAGGAGAACAACGGAGAGTGTGAAAACAGAGACGAAGCCCCCACCCAGCGATCCCAGACTGCTCCTGCTGCTTATGTCCCGAGAGAAAGAAAGAAAGTTCCCCTGCGCCGGCCGCTGCTCCCTTCCAGACTCACGCTGTGCTCCCAAAGCCCACTCCCCGACATCAGCACCATCTCCCACACTCGCCAGTCAGTCTTTCTGGGGTTCCTGGCTGGCAGGGCTGGTTCTGCCTTCCCACCAGGCTGCCCGAGATCCTGGCCTGCACCAGTGCTTCAGCCAGCTCCTCCCTAACGCAGGAGGGCACTCTGGGAAGCGGATGCTTCTCCTCCGCCCTTCCTCATCGTCTGTGTCCTCCAGTGCATCAGCAAGACTGCTGCTCTCCTTTGTAAGCTCTTGGCTAAACTATCCGTGTGAAAGCACTCCAAGCCAGGTGTGGTGCACAGGCTTGTGATCCTGGCATGCTGGGAAGCTAAGGCAGGATTTTCAAATTCAAGCCCAGAGTTTGAAACTTAGTGACTCAGTGAGGCCCTGTCTCAAAATAAAAAAAGGGTGGGGATGCATCTCAATGCAAAGGTTCTGGGGATAACTCCAATACGCCAAAGGAAAAAAGGCAGGGGAAGCATTCTGTCCAACAGGTTACTTATAGTTTTCTAAAGGGGCTCCCACTTAGCATAAAAAAACAGCAGCCCATAAAGGAAGCAGACTGTGGAGAGGACCTTCATCACCCGCCTAACTTCTCACCTACCTCCAGGCTGACCCCGGGTCGCATCACCCGCCTGAGGCCCTGGAACTGCTGGTATGCCAGGCAGAGTTCCAGCTGCCTGTCCAACTCATAGAGGCCAGCGGGCTCGTTCAGCACACCAGTGACTGTTCCCTGCGAGAGGCCGAGGTCCAGCTGGTCACACCACCTCCTTCCTCATTAGAGAGCCCACTTCCTGCCCCCCAAGCTCCAGGCTCTCTTCCCTAGGCTCACCTTATAATGTAAGAGGAGGGAGTCCTGGGAAAGACCTTTCTGCCCTTTCCCAGCTTGGGAGTTGCTGGGTGCGGGGAATGGTTTGGGCTCCGCCTCCAAGGCTCCTTCCAGCTCCAGCCCCAGCTCCAGCTCCCGCACACATTCTGGATTTAGCAGCACCAGATTCGAGGCAGGAGTGGTCGTCCAAACGCGGTAGCGGTGACCATGGATCCTGGATACTCGAAGTTCCGTCAGCACATAGTCCTCGCCAGGCCGAAGAGCTCGGTGCCACACCAGCTGGGCAGGGACCTACACACCGATGCAGGCCAGAGGAGAGTGCGGAAGGGGCTGCCCACAGCGCTGCCCCTCGGCCAGCTTCTTTTCGCCACAGCTTGACCTCAAGGCCTGCTCCCCATGACTTTTCCCTGTCTATTCATCTTGTCTATGTTTGCTGATGAAACATTAAACCACAGGCTTTCGGGATTTCTCCTTTTCACTGGAGAAATATTTCCTAATCCCTTCCTCAAGATATACATCATCTTGGGGCTGAGGATTTAGCTCAGCGGCATAAGCGCCTGCCTTACAAGCACGTGGTCATGAGTTCGATCCCTGGTACCAATTTAAAAAAAAAAAAAGATATACATCATCCATAAAATTTCCATGAAAATATACAACTGTTCTACCGGGCGTGGTGGTGTACATCTGTAATCCCAGTGCTTGAAAGGCTGAGGCAGAAGGACTACCGTGAGTTGAGCCCAGCCTGGGCTACCTAGTGAGTTTAAAGCCAGCTTGAACTATATAGTGAGATGCTGTCTCAAAAAGACGAAAAAGAAAACAAACAATAACAACTATATATATACACACACACTCAGACACAAATATGCCCACCTACCCACGGCATACAGCCTGCTTGCGTACACATGCACCCGCTTGTCCTGGGATTCCGGCGGGATCACAGGCATGCACTACCAGTGTGGCTACGAGGGTTCATGTCACACAGCATTTCTAGTGTGCCTGCATTTTAACTCTGACCCATCACGCAAGGTCAGGGGTGAAATTTTCCACTTGTGACGTCAGTAGAGCCCTCAAAAAGCTTCAGATTTTGGAGCGTTTTGGATTTCTGCTCAACTTGTAACTGGTTTGTCGAAGAGGGGAGGAAGAGGAGGGAGATTCAGAAAGAAGCCAACAACATAAAAATGCTCACAACTCAGAGTGAGCCAGGAATGGTTTGGGAGCAGGGGAAACTCTAGCAGTGATAAGGAAGGGGGAATGCTGCCGGGAGCTGCTGCGGGGGAGAGGGAGGGCTAAGATAAGGGAAGAAGCCGTCACGTGGCCTGGAGGGGGCAGCAGGACAGTCGCTGGAGACACTGAGGCCTGGGAAGATGCTTCATGGGTAAGACGGTTCATTGGCACAAAAACCTTCTCGGTACGCTCGCTCCTCCCCAGGTATAAAACGCACCGCTACCTTTCTCAGGGCCTCCAAGGCCACTGACACGAGCTGGAGTACTGCTCAGCAGTGGAAAGGGGCCCGGTATGGACCAGGCCCTAGGTTAGGCCCCACGCTGAGAACTCAAGAAACTCAAACTGCAGTTACCTCTGTTCACCTTTCCAGACCTCTCCTCCTTCCACTCTGAAACCAGCCGAGTCCACCAGTTTGGCCTTGATATCGCAGCACATCATAAAACATCGCTGAGCCCTTATTAAAACTTACTGCACGGGACAAAACAAGTCACAGCAGCGGGCTGAGTGAGCAGACGAATGGAGGCCCTCCATCTCCTCTCGGCGCTCCTCCAGCCCTCAGGAGAACCCCAGCATCTCAGCCCTCCTTCACTCCCATGCTGAGGTCCCTCTCTTTCCCCGTCTGACACCAGGATCTGGCCCCTGAATCCAGCCCTCCCTGCCCTTTACCCTTGGGTGTACCAATGCCATATTACACAGCTGCTGGGGCCGGGGTACAGCTCAGAGGCACAGCACCAGCCTGGCAAACACCAGGTCCTGAGTTCAATTTCCAGTACCCCTCGAAAAACAAAACAAACATATTATATATCTGCCTCAATTCCTCTCTAAAGTAGAAACCTCACTCAAGGAAGACAGATTCACACCATCTCAGAGCCAGACACAGATGCTAACCTGTTCCTGAGGGGCCTCTGTAATCTCCTATCCCCTACTACTACAGTGATTACCCTAAACTCTCCTCTCCCTTCAACCTCCAGCCCTTCATTTTTTAAGAGATAACCTCAGCTCTCAGGCTCTGGCAAAGATCCACTGGTCATGCAGAGCGACAAAAAGTTCCCAGTAGGCCTCTTCGGCAGCCCACAGACAATTCCAAGAGCATCCCTGTGCTGCTGTGGGTGTAGCTCGGTGATAAAACATGCACGTGTAAGACACTGGGTTCAACACCAACATCAACACACACACACACACACACACACACACACACACACACACACACACCCCAAAACCCCTCTTCCCCTGACCCCCCCCCAAGTTTATATCAGATGCACCTTTGCCCCTCAGACATCCTCATGCATGTGTATCTATCTGCCACTGTACTTATAACCTGCAATCCTACGCAGTCACTGCTAGGACACTTATTTCATGGATAAGAGCGGCCAGAAGACGAGAGCCGTGAGCTTACTCAGCTTCACCTCTGCTGAGCAAGGTGCCTAGTCTGCAGCACATGTTCCGTCAACAAAGGCTGAATCTGGGGGCAGGTAATTCTCCAGTCCAGAACATCCTCTTCTGTCTTCTAGCAATTCCAATCCTACCCTCCTTCAAGATGCAAATCAAGTTCACATCACTTTACACAGCTTCCCCCACATCATAAACTCTAGCTGGCTTGCAACAAATTAACCACCCATCCTAGAACTCACATACTGCTTTGTATTATTCTCTAGTTGCTTCATAAATCCATGATCATATCAGATCTACATACATTATGAACCATCTAAAAGAGTCATCTGCAAAAATTCAGGTATATTTCAGAGATGTCTATCTTGGTACACAGTAATACGTCAAAAAGCCAACTCTGTGCTTCACAGAATGTTCTAATGATCCTTAAGAGATTTAAAATATGCTTTTTAAAAAAGAGATTTAAAACATTCTAATGTAAACCAGGCTTGGTCACCTATGCCTATAGTCCCAGCACTCTGAGAGGCTGAGGCAGGAGAATCACCAATTCAAGTCCAGCCTATGCAATTCAGTGACTTAGCAAGACTCTGTCTCAAAATAAAAACAGAAAAAGGCTTGGTGATACAATTCAGGGAAAGGGTCCAGAGTCCAACACCCAGATCTCCTTGATCTAGGAGAAAAAGTCAAAGTCAGAAATTTAGGCAGCTTCTAGGGGCCTTTTAAAAAAGTATGCTTAGCTTCCTTACAGGCTACTCACCGTTACGTAAGCTCACCAGCTGCACACAGGTAAGCGTTCTGACTGTCCCTAAGTCTCAGGACTTTCCCTCCCTCCTTCCTTCCTTCCTTCCTCTCTGCCTCCTTCGCGGTGATTCTAGAAACTGAACCCGTGACTTCACACACGCTAGGCAACCATTTTTTTGGAGACAGGTCTCACTATGCAGCCCGGGCTGGCCTCGAACTCATGGCAACCGTCCTGCCTCAACCTCCCGAGCGCTGGGAGGACTGGCAGGCACCACCATGCTCAGCTGCAGGCAAGCTCTCCTAACTAAATTAAACTCCTTACCCTAGTTTCCTGCTCTAAGAGACATGTTAAAGAACCTCTCATGTAATTTTTCTTGTATGCTTTTAAATATTATTTAGATGATTATGTAAGTCATAAAATATTGGTTTGCCATGGTACAAATATTAGTGATTTAAAAATTGTACCTAGAACCAGGTGTGGTAGTGCACACCAATAATCTCAATTCCTAAAGACTGAGGCTGTTCCAAGTTCAAGGCCATCCCAGGCTACATAGTAAGTTCAAGGCCAGTCTATGCTACATGGTCAGACCTTGTCTCAAAAAAAGAAAAAAAAAATCAACAATGAATGTCAAGTTTGTTATTTGAGGGTTTTTTTTTGGTACCAGGGATTGAACCCAGAACCTCGCACTTGCCAGGCAGGTGCTTATGCTGCCAAACTCCCTGGCCCCAAGTTTGTTTTTTTTTTAATGCATTTATTCGATGTCTTATTTGAGTCATGATGATTTGTTTGCCCATCCTTCTAACACAGAAGAAAATAAGTCATCCTGGCAGTTTTCAAAAATGTCACAGAGGATACAAACACCATCGATGCAAATGAACGGACTGCAGAGCAGGTAAGTCTGTTCCCTAACCCCACACACAGACAGCAACACCGCTGGCCCTTCTCTGCACAGCTGTGTTCCACAAGGTGCCTCCCGGCCGTCCTCCTCCCCTGTGCAGCTCCCATCAGGGTACCCTGCTTCCACGCCTGCGTGCCCCTGAACCGCCCCTGCCCCTCACCTGCACAATGATGGGCACCTGGCCGACAGCCTGGCCGGCGGCAGAGGTGGGTTCTCCAAGAGACAGGATGAAGTATGTCTTCTGCTGACTTCTTACCAGAGGACTCAGCCGGACCAGCTTCCCGGCTAGATTTGACTGCGCATTTCTGAGCTTACTTCTAAGAAGGAAAAGGAGGGGAAGAAGTCATTTCCATTTCTTTCCTGTGACTCTACAAATGTCTTTCCTTCCTGTGCAAAGAACAACCTCACAGCACAAAGCTATTCTAAAAACCTTCCAACTCTTCTTCCCTTGCATAAATCTAGTAGTGATATAAAGTGTCCATACTCCACCCCACAATAGCATTTTAAAATCTTTAAACTCTTTTTCCCTTTTTGCCTCCTAGGACTTCTGGAAGCAACATGGGTCACCAGCAGCTCTAGTGGAGCCACCCGAGGCAATTCAGCCAGGGCTCTCATTCCTGCCATGTCTGCTCAAACCGACACAGTCTGATTTGGAAATACGGGCTGAACATGTGCCATCAGTGTTTCCGCCAGTATGCGAAGGATTTCGGCTTCATCAAGTTGGATTAAGTGATCTTTGCTGGATTATCCAGGACATCCGCTCAGTGAAAGAAACAATGCAAATTCTTTGTACATAAAATAAAAAATCTAAAAGCTTTCAAAAAAAAAATCTTTAAACTCTTTTTGCCCTTAGATACAGTACATTTCCTTTGAAGAACACTTCTCTTACACAGGGTGTGATGGTGCATGTAATCCCAGCACTCAAGAGGCGGGAGGCTAAGGCAGGAGGATCCCTGCAAGTATGAAGCCAGCCTGGGCTACACACTGAGTTCAATGCCAGCCTAAAACTACACAGGTAACCCTGTCTCAATAAAACAAAAATAGGGCCAGGAATATCACTAAGCACAAGGTCCTGAGTTCAATTCCCAGCACACACACGCAACACACATCTTCTCTTTATAATCTTTTTATGTGGCACTGGGGCTTGACCCTGGGCCTACACAGGGAGCTAGGTCCTCACAGCTCTAGTCCTTTTTCAGTTTTTATTCTGAGACAGCGACCTTCTAAGATGCTACGTCACCCAGGCTGGCTTCAGACTCCCTGAGATCCTCCTGCCTCAGCAGCCCAGAGTACTGTCATTACAGGTGAGCACCACCATGTGCAGCTCTTTACGTCCCTGACGTGCAAAGGCCCACCGACCCTTTGAAATTTGGAATGTCCCACCTATACTACCATCGAAGCTTTCTTTCCCTCCACTGAACCACCATCCTCCTCCATGTTGCACAGTGCTCCCTCCTCCCCTAGAGAAGAGAGCTACCTGTGTCCAAGCACCTGGGATGCCATCCGTGGGTACAGCACAGGGAGAGGCGTGAGAGGCTCAGGACTGACGCTCAAAGGAAACACTGGCACAGGGGCATCCCAGAGCTCCAAGTGCCCTTCCCCTGAGGAATCCCACTTGGCAGGAGGAAGGTAACTCCAACTGGGGAATAAGAAGAGATGGCCCAGCCAAGACAGGTCCAAACCTAAGAGCTGGAAAAACCAGGAAGATGGGTTAACCGGTCCCAGCATCCAATTTGCCCCTCTAGAATCCTGGCTGCCGTGCTCCCGCTAGAATCTGAAACTTCTGGTTGGTCCACCCTACTTACCTCGCAGCCCAGGATTCCAGTGTTGTCTCTCACAAAGAGGCTTCCATCCCTGCTCTCTTGTTCTGAGTCCTGCGATAGGTCTGTTAGTGTCCCTAAAAGCAACAGCTGCTCTTGGGGCAGGGGGTTCCCACTTGATTCGGCCTCTTGGGCCCAAGCCTCGTACGCACTGCTGCTCCAGGACAGGTGACTACAGCACGGCTGATGGTGGCTCCTGAGCTTCTGCACTGAAGCAAAGCTGGAGAGTGGAGAACAGAGGTTCCACAAAGCCAGGCCAGGCCAGGAGGACACTCCCCAGACACTGTCCCACGGTTCATGCAGGGAAGGTGAACTAAGAGATGTGCATGACCAAAGAGAAAGGAACCAGGGCAAGGGCCTGCCATAACGCGATGGGCCTGGGTCTGGGGGCTGCACACTGCCGAGGGAAACGCAGAATGGAAGTCTCGGCCAAGCGATAGCTGGGGGCTGGGGGGTAACAGGGCCCAAACCCAAGGGTGCCCTGACACTGAGCAATGTCCTCGGTCCTCTGTACTTCTGGTTCTTTCTGAGACAGGGCCTCACTATGCAGCTCAGCTTGGCCCTGGACTCACTGTGTACCTCAGGCTGGCCTCGCATTTGCAGCAATCCTCCTGCTTCAGCCTCCTGAGGCAAGTGCTACCATGCCCAGCTCTAAAGTAAATCATTTTCTTTTTTTTTTTTTTTTTTTTTTTTTTTTTTTTTTTTTCCTTTTTATTGGTACCGGGGATTGAACTCACAACTGCCTGCTTGCAAGGCAGGTGCTTATGCGGCTGAGCTAAATCTCCAGCCCAAGTAAATCATTTTCAAACATAAAAGACTTTCTCAGAACAGGACCCCAGCAGGGCCACAGCCTCGCTCACTGCAGGAAGCAGGGTGCTGGGTCACATCTGGCAAACCAGTGTTTGAAGAACCACTGTTTAATGTCACAAATTAGAAAATTAAACAGAATTATGAAAACCATGTCTCAAATAACAGAATCCAAATAGCAGCCTCTCACCAGAATTCCATGCCTCTACTGACTGACACAGGGAGCCGAGTTTGGGAAGTGTTTCCAAATCCCATAAACAGGTTAAGGACAGTGTCAGGGAAACAATATCCCAGCTGAAGTTAGCTTGAGCAATGATGAATTAAGCAAACTCAAACAGATTTTTATCTTTCGTCTTAAGAAGGATAAACAAAAAGTGACACACACTCTCTCATATACATGTACACATATAAAATAAAGCAGTTAAAGGTCAGCTAGAACTAAGTGTACCAATACGAAGTGCAACGTTAAGCACAGAGAAGCGAACTGCAGAGGATGCTAAGATCCTGTACCATTTACACACAGCTCTACTGCAGACTGCTCACGGGTAGCTGGACCCATAGTGAAATACAGACATTTTGGGGATAACATATTCCATTCTTAAGACTGTGGTACTCCTATAAAGAAGAAATAGGTTTCCTTTGGTAAAACTTTTCAGAGCCTTAAGTTAATGAGCCCTCTAAATCTCTTAGAGAAGGTTGTATTCACAGTCTCTCAAGCTTCCTTGGCCATAAAGCAAATTCTGTTCTTTTGGTGCTTGATTAACTTTTCCTAGTGTAGTGTAGCTCACGAAGTGGTTTTGTGCACTAAAAATCCCCAAAGAAGTGTACCTTTAAGAAGACCTTCAACTTAAAAGGTCTTCCTTTTCTCTTTTTAAGTTTTGAGGTACTGGGGCGCAAACCCAGTACCTTCACACTGAGCTACATCCTCGGGTCTTTATCTTTTTCTCTTTAAAACCAGGTCTGAATAAGATACTGAGGCTGGGCGTGAACTTTCAGTTCTCCCGCCTCAGCTACCCAGAGCATTTACAGCCACTATGCAGCATGAGGTCTTAAAAACAGCAACCCAGCTGGGCTGCAGTGGAAGACACCTGTACTCTCAGCTACTCAGGAGGATCATACATTCGAGGCTAGTCTGGGTAACTCAGCGAGACCCTGTTCCAACTGCCCCTCCCCCGAAAAAAAGGCTGCCAAGTGTGACAGTAATATGCTGCCAGCACCCCAGCGCCTGAGACAGGAAAGCAGCAGGAGTCTGAGGCCAACACAGGCCACACAGTGCAATCAAGGACTCCCTGAACTACAGTGAGAACTTGTCTCAAAAAATAAAATAGGGCGCTGGGGATTTAGCTCAGCAGCATAAGCACCTACTTGGCAAGTGCAAGGTCATGAGTTCAATCCCTGGTTCCACACACACTCACAAAAATAATAATAATAATAATAATAATAATAAATAAAAGCTAAAATAAATGAAATGAATAAGCACAGACAGACCTGGGGACATAGCTTAGCCCTAGCACGTGCGGGCCCAATTTCAATCCCAGGACTGCAAACACAAAAACAAACAAAAAACAACCCAAATTCGGTAAGGTCTAGAATCTCTCGGAATCTCTCTCTCTCTCTCTCTTTTTTTTTTTTTTTTTGCAATAGGGTCTTGCTACAAGTTCACTGAGGCTGGTCTCAAATTCAGTGATCCTCCACCTCCCCCTCCTGAGTACAGGGGTTACAGCCAAGGGGGCAGTTCCTTCCCTCCCATCAGGAGGGGGAGGGCTCCGCCTAATCTCAGCTTTTGTCTCCTGGTCTCTCACCCCTACCCCCATCATAAGAGCTGCATGGTGTGGCAGTGCCTCTCCTCACCTCTAAATCTGACTTAAGCCAGTTAAGGAAAAGAAAAACGGAGGGAAAAAAGTTCACAGGAAAGGCTGTGTACACACCACTTTGTTCACACACTTTTCTCACTTTCCTGGATTTGTGTGTGTTTTTTTAAACAACATTTTCAGGGTTGGGAATTTAGCTCAGTGGCATAAGCACCTGCCTGGCAAGGACAAGCACATGAGTTCATTCCCTGGTACCAAAAATAAACAAATAACACTTTTATTTGTTCAGAATGTTTATTTTAAATTTAGCTGAGGTTGAAAATGGTTTATCTTCCAATGAATTTCTTAACATCCAAAAGTGTTAATTTCAGTATTAAAACTTTATAACCAAAACGCATCTGTATTTATTACCTTATGTTTATAACAAATAACTTCTATGCTTTTATCAGATCACAGTCTCCCAATCAGACATGGGAATACACAAGTAATAATGTTACTCTAAGCTTTTCTGAGTTCTAGATTTTAGTTTCTATAATTCTTTTTTTTTTTTTGTCTTTTTCTTTTTTATCGGTACCAGGGACCGAACTCACAACTGCCTGCTTGCAAGGCAGGTGCTTATGCTGCTGAGCTAAATCTCCAGCCCCCAGTTTCTATAATTCATAAACTCAGAATTAATGAAAAAGATATGGAATTTCCTGAGTTATATATGTAGCTTATATGTACTTTTACAAACACTTAAATATCACAAATTTATACCCATAATACATGCCCTCACTAGTCATACATTTAACAGTCAATACATTTGTTCTTTGTATGTTTATATCATCTTAGAAACTATTTTTAGCTTTCAACAAAACTATTCGCCAAGATTTCTTAGATATTAGCAAAGAGGACAAAACCATTATGAAACTAAACCGCTACCACAGCTCTCTTGCTTCCCTTTCAGCCATGCAACTTCCTGTTCTCTAGAGACACTGATTGATGCTTATCTTTCCAATCTCAACACCACTCCTCCTTTATCAACGTGCCGGTCCCCTGCAGGGATTGTGCACACACACCAATCACAGCGGTGAAATCTGACAATGTTGGTATCCGTCATTTCCAGTTATTTCAACTGCAGGCCCACCTTATTAGCTGCTTCCCAGGAATTTAGGAGACTCCACAGCTCTTCCTTACTCATTTCAACAGAATACAGTTTTATTTCACCATTTTCTTTTACATCTAGATGAAAACGGTTGGGATTTAGCTCAGCAGCATAAGCACCTGCCTGGTGAGCGTAAGAGCATGACTTGGTGAAAGCCTTAACTGCCAGTAAACATCTGGTAGCTGTGCAGAGGAAATACGAATTATTTCTCCTAACATATTTCTTCTTTCCTACTTTTCAAGTATTTTGTGATAGGTTCTTTTTTTTTTTTTGAGACAGGGTCTCACTATGCAGTTCACGCTGGCCTTGAGCTCACTTTGTAACTCAGGCTGTCTTGAACTCACAACATTCTCCTGCCTCAGCCTCCCGAGTGCAGGAATTACAGGTATGCACCACCACACCCAGCGTCATGATAGGTTCTTGATGATGAGATCAATTCAACTGACTCAACTGTTCAAGTGTCTCTTCCCCTGATAAATTTTTACCAACTATGGCTTTAAAAAACTTGGTAATATTTCCCAAAATGTGTACCCATTCTGTTGAATCCTGAACACAGTCATCACCCTGGTAAAAAGGGTATGCTCAACCACAAACGCCATCAATTATTTTGTGAAGAGGCCGTGTGCCCAGCTCCAGGGCAGCGTCAGCAGCTGCCACAGTAGCAAACCCTCTTCCAACTCCCCACTACCCTGTGTCTAAGTGTGGATTCCCTCCTCTTCAATCCCAAATTCGATCTCCCTGCCAACCTTTACCTTCCTTACCTGTAGTTGAGGGGCAGTGCAAAACCCTGGTTCCTCTCCTGGGAACACCAGATCCTCTTCACACAGTCAATTACCAACTGAGTCAAATGAACATCGGGCTCTTGGTCAGTTGGGCAAATGGTCTCTTGGATGAAGGCCCGGGTAGCCTCAAGCCAGGCTTGCTCCTAAGGAAAGTGAACCTAGTTAAAACATCTTCTGGACTATCCCTCCCACCAAAATTTTGGGAATAAAGAAATAGAAAAAAATTGCCGAGCGTGGTGGCTCATGCCTGTAATCCCAGCACTCGGGAGGCTGAGGTGGGAGGATCCTTGCGAGCTCAAGACCAGCCTGGTCTACAAAGTGAGCTCAAGACCAGCCTGAACTGCATAGTGAGACCCCATCTCAAAAAAAAAAAAAAAAAAAAAAAAAAGAGAAATAGAAAAAAATTTAGAAAGCATATAAAATGAAGATCAAGAGCAAAATGTTTAGAATTTTAAGCCTTCAAAGTCCTTAGTTCTGTTTTGTTTTAATGTTTTAGTTTTTTGAGACAAAGTCTTGCTATGTAGTTTGGGCTAGCCTCAAGCTCACCGTGATCTTTCTGCATCAGCCTCCCAAGTGGTAGGACTACAGCCTATGCCACTACACCTAGCAGAAATCCTTAGCTTTTACTGGTACACCATATATACACATAGTGATAACATTCATCACAGAGAATTTGTACCCGTAATGATGCATCTTGCTTCAGAAGTGCTTTGTTTAGAGCGAGAGTGTAGCTCTATAATACAGCACTTGTCCAGCGTGTGTTTCCTTGGGTACTATTCATAGCACAGTAAAATTAGCTTTGGTCTTCCTTCCTTTTCTAGGAAACCTACAGTAACCCTTAAAATGCTCGACCTAAACCTACAGTCCTCTCTGGACCACACTCTGACCATCTCAAGCAGACTGCTGGGCGCTCCCTCGGCACCTGGCACACTCCACCGTTAGGGGGAGACCACAGCCAAGCCCGGCGTGACCCACTGGAACCCAGCCCTCAGGAGGCCAGACTGGACTACACGGGGAGAACTTTGTTCAGAACAAACAGAAAAGAACAATGACAACCACATTGAGTGCCATACCATCTTACATGAGGTCTGCTTCTAAAGACAGCAAGCTGAAAAGCAAGAATAGGCAAAATTACTCTTTCAAAAATACTGTACTGTATCTTGCTCATAAAAAATATATTTAGGGGTGACAATGCACAGTATATGTACCATTGTTATCCCCTGATTGCTCTAAAATTTCTGTTGTAATTTTTTTCCCTTTTTATCTATGAATAAAATGGATTTGAAAAAAATAGGTCAGAGTACTGTTCTATAATATGCTTATTTAAATAAGTGTGTCTAATAGGGTATAAAAAGGACATGGATATATGATTTTTAATCATTTCCCTTTTTTTCAGATATATATATATTTGAGTTTCCATAAACTAAATATATGCAAGATATAAATCCCAATGAGTTACATTCCTAACTCTTTGAGACAGGTTCTTGCTAAACTGCCTGGGCTAGGCTCAAAACCTTGCAACCCTCCTGTCTCAGCCTCTGAAGTAGCTGGATTTACAGGCTGAGGTCACCACATGCAGCTCAAGATGTGGGCTTTATTTTTTTCTTTTTGAGGCAGTGTCTCATTGTATAGTCCAGACTGACTTGAACCCACTACATAGCCCAGGCTGGCCTCGAACTCATGGCAATCTTTGTGCCTCAGCCTGAGTGCTGGCATTACAGGCATGCACCACCTAAGATAATGCTGAGGAAAGCATAGACCACCTTTGCATGGCTGACAGATTTTGGTTGCCATTATATATAGCTTTAAGGAAGACGACCACTTGGCCTCTTCCCAGGATAGGTAGCTTTGCTTTAAAATCTCTAAAGAGTTCAACAGTACATAGGAGTAGGACCTTTATCCTAATCAATGTATTTCTAAGCCACTACAGCTTCATCCCTGGTGTTCCAAGGCTCCTCTCTTCTGGTCAGTCTTCCACATTCAGCAAAGCTTTAGCAGCCGGAAAACAGCATTAAAAAATCTGTCTTTGAAGCTGGGCAAGGTGATGCTCACCTGTAACCCTAGTACAATGGAGGCTGAGGCCGAGGATGACTGTAAGTAGCCTGGCCTACACAGTGTGCCCCGGGCTACAAAGTGAGTTCAAAGAAGTACCAGTGTTCAAATTCTAGGTAACTTCAGGATCCTTGTGGAGACTTATCACTGACATACACCTTCACCTGCCTCTATCAAATAGCCTCGTTTCATTCAGCTTTGGGTCCCAGACCAGATCATTACTCCAAGCTGCCCCACCAACATACTGGAAGGGTAGGATTTTACTTTTTGTCTTTGCCTTTTTTTTTTTTTGAACCTGAGTCACTCTATACCTCTATCCCTTTTCATTCTTTACATTGAGATAAACTCTTGCTAAATTCCCCAGATTGGTCTTGAATTTATGATTCTCTAATCTCAGCTTCAAAGTAGCCCACCCTCATTCTTCTTTTTCAGTAGTTCCTATTCTTCTAAAGGCTTGCTGTTGTTTAGCGCACCAAATACCACTGCTTTTTAAATATCACTGTTTCAAAATGAAGTTAAGTTTTTTAAAAAGACAAATCCAAGCCAGGTATAGTGACACGTGTATACCTGTAATCACAGCATTCTGGGAGGCTGAGGCAGGAGGATGGCAAGTTCAAGCCTAGTCTGGGAAGTTTAGAGACCTTGTCTTAAAATTAAATAAATGTTTAGAAAGACTATGGATATGGGCCCCGAGTTCAATTCCCAATACTCCCGAAAAACCAAAAAATCCAAGAAACTAAAAGAAAACCAAATCTAAACAAACAAGGTAAATTATGGATCTCATCTGTTGAATCAGAATATTTTAATAAGATCCCTAGGTTGATTATGAACAATATAAGCTGAAGTTTAAGAATACCACACACTGGGGCTGGGGATTTAGCTCACCGGCATAAGCGCCTGCCTTGCAAGCAGGCAGTCATGAGTTCAATCCCTGGTACTGATAAAAACGAAAAAGACAAAAAAAAAAAAAAAAGAATACTACATACTGAGGCCCAGGATATAGCTCAGCGGCACAGTGTCTGCCTGGTAAATGTGGGGTCCTGAGTTTAATTCTGGTATGCATACACATACTGGAAGAATACGACACACTAAGCATGGTGGCACACTCCTGTAATCCCAGTTTTTTTTTTTTTAATCACTACCGGGGATCGAATTCATGACGACACGCTTGCAAAGCAGGCGCTTATGCTGCTGAGCTAAATCCCCAGCCCCATAATTCCAGTTTAGGCAGGAGGTCCACTGTGAGTTCAAGGCCAGTCTAGATTATACAGTGAGATTCTGTCTAAAAAAAAACTATACACTTTCTCCTCAAATACTAATGGGTGACTTTTTTCCTTTTTTACCATCTAATTGAACTTGTTGAGTTTTGCAAGTACTGGGAATTGAACCCAGGGCCTTATCTGTAGTGGGCAAGTGTTGTATCACTAAACTGCATCCCCTCCCCTTTTTATTTTGTTCTGAGACAGTGCTAAAATATCCAGGTTAGCCTTGAACTTGTGATCTTCCTGCCTCAGCCTTTCCAGTAGTTTGGGATTACAGGTGAATGATAGCCCAGAAACAACCTGGCTTTAAACAGCCACCAACAGATGATTGTGCCTACATTTCTCTAGGCAATACATGCCTAAAAATGACTTTTCACATCATCTCTTTTTCTAGTCCTCTTTAATTTAGCAGAGAGCACTCTCAAGTAACTGTTTTACACTGAACCTGGTCATACTCTAACTCCTTTCTTTCCTTACACAAATCTGGCCCTCTAGAGTCTATGACAGTCTTTTTTTTTTTTTTTTTTTTTTTGGTCTTTTTCCTTTCTATCGGTACCGGAGATTGAACTCACGACGCCTGCTTGCAAGGCAGGCACTTATGCCGCTGAGCTAAACCCCCAGCCCCTTTTTCTTTTTCTTTTTTCTTTTCAAGATACGGTTTCACTATGCAGTTCAGGCTGGCCTTGAACTCATTTTGTAGCCAAGGCTGGCCTCAAAACTCACAATGATCCTCCTGCCTCAGCCTCCAGAGTGCTGCGATTACAGGTGTGCGCCACTATGCCTGGCCTGACATTATCTTTCTATTTTGTTTTCGTCCCTGGAATCTCAAAACTGCTTCCAAGGCTGGGACTACTATCCTCTCATTGCATTTTAATCATGGTTTTCCAGTTCTTTACACTACTACTTGAATAAGTAGCCAATCACCAACTTTTCCGTTTAGGATCCACCAACAACTCCTAACAAAGTTGTGCCCAACAAATCCTACAACACTCTTGGCTCTGGAGCATCCATCACTATCCAATTTACCTTCCTGAGTTTTCCCAGATACTTGCTGTACTCCTCCGTTTCAACCTGTATCTGCTTCCGCCTTGTAATGTAAAAACTTCTTTGCTTTGCTAACACTTCAAAACTGACTTTTCTTTTTCCCCTATACATGCGTCTCGAGTCTTCTTTGCGACCCTCAGACCCACAGCTGCCCCATTAACCTTCTCTTAGTTTCCCGCTGGGTCTAAATCCTAAAGAGTGGCAGGAGAGACGCCTAACGGGCGCCACGCGAATAAAGTAACAAAATATTCGCAGAACTAACAGAAGTAGCAGCAAACTGTCTCATAGTCCCCTCACTCCCAGTCGTGCCCAACGAGGTCCACAGGCCAGAGACGTGGTGAAAGAAACGTGAGAAGAAAGAAAACTCGGGTCAGAAACAGTGACTACGGACACAGCTCAGCACTCACAGACAGAACCGGACCCCGCGAACCCGTCATGGTGCACCAAAGTCCCGCCCCCGGGAACGACGCGTGCGCGGACGCCGCGAGTGCTCACGGGAGGGCTCGGTGACGTCATCGGGGCGCGTCGCTGCTCTGTAGCTTTGCATCGAGAGGGCGTGATTTCTGCACACCAGCGGATTTCTTTCAAAGCACGTCTTTATTTTTAAGAACATTTGTTTTCAGCAACTAATACAGTCAAGTCTATACTTTTCTACATAATTTGTGAATTTTTCAAAGTCTAATAGGAACTTTAATCATTTGCTTCTGTTCATGTTTTCTTGATCAGTTCATTTTTCTTTCTAAAACGCTGCACACCACACCAGGCAAGGAAGTATCTTTAAACACTACAGCCTCAGGACCTGGACATTCTTCTGAAGCGACCTGTACGCTTGTTTTATGGAATTGTGGTCATACTATTTTCTTCAGTCATCAGACAAGAATTTGTAAAACATCTGTTCAGTGACCTTCGCATGTCTTCAATGCATAGCCGCAGTTGTACCTCAAAGAGGCCGGGAAATAGCATGGCTGCCAGCAGCCCATATGTCTTCCTCCTTGGGTGGCCGCGCAGGACAGGAAACCTGTCTGGCTCCTTAAGTGATGTTGAGACTTAAGTGTGAAGGGATGGGAGAGCTATGAGTTCAAACAGCCTGCCTGGTTGATAACCCCTAAGCATCTTTCGGTCTCCCTGAATTTGCCAACCAAAATAGTGCTTTCTCCTAAATGCAGCCAGAGAATCTCTTTCACTCTTGGGTTATGGACAGGTTATGGTAGGTGTTCAAAATACCCGGACTTCTCCTCACATCCCTTCCAGCTCCTTTCAAAAAAATGCCTTTTTCTTTCTATGTTAGAAGTTGTAGATAAGCTAAAGTTTATGATGCTAGCTTTATACCCTTTCTATGTACCTTACTTCTCTATTGGATCTATATTAGCTAAGTGATTATTCTTGTAATTCTATTGGTTGATTGTAGTTTGATCTATGTTATACCCACCTTGTGATTTTTTTCATGTTTTGTTTGGTTTTTTTGAGATAAGGTCTTGCTATGTAGCCCAGGCTGGCCTTGAACTCATTATGTAGCCCAGGCTGGCCTCAAACACACAGAAATCCTTCTACCTCAGCCTCCCTATAGAGGATCCCTTTCTTGTCCTCACTGCAATCCAGGAAGTTTAACTTTGTAATCCTATGGAACTGTTACGGGAATTTGAGCAAGTTAATTCCAATCTACACTTCCAGTGTAACCCATGACAAGAACAAACACTAAGACATTTGTCATTATGGGGAGTCAAGGGGTCTTGAGTTCAGCCCAGATGATGATAGTTCAACAGAACAAAGGCCGTGACCCAGAGCCTAACCTGGATTTTATTAATTTTGAAAAGAAGAGAGTGGCTTGAGGATGAGTGACTATGAGGATAGTGGAAATACAGAGTACTGTGAACTGGGCTGTGTAGGAGGCCTGAAAGTGCCTCTGCAATATGCAGAGAGAAGGGCATGCAGAATGATCAGTCTGTATAACACAACTGAGGTAGCATTTAAAGTTTAGGCACCCGTGCCTAAGCTCTGATGTGCAAACTTTTTACTCTGGGAAGTCATAGCCTCTTATCTCCAGGCTCAACCCAGATGACAGCCCTGAAGCCGTGGCTCTGTATAAACACTGTGCTAATTGCACCGCTGGAGCATCTGCCATGGCTCTTTCTTCCTGCCAGGCTCAACCATAATGATGGGCGTCGGGGAGGGAATCAGTGACTGCTGCCTGGCTTCAAAGATTGCACATCAGCACCTCAGCCGCGCTATTTACTTTGCTTACAGCCAGTTGAAGGGAGAAGGAAATGGCTTAGCCAGGTCTGTACATCAGCACCTCAGCCGCGCTATTTACTTTGCTTACAGCCAGTTGAAGGGAGAAGGAAATGGCTTAGCCAGGTCTGTACATATCAGTTACATGGAGATAGGATCAGGTTTAGTCAAAGTGGAGGTACTTGTTCTTTACTCAAGAAGAGTCTTCCAGGTGTTAGGGTTACAGGTATGTAGCACCACACCTGGCTCCACCTTGTGGTTTTGCTTTGTAAAACATTCTTAGAAAATAACCTCTGTAGTAACCCATTTGGAACCTCCTGCCCCCATCTTGTGGGAGCTTTCTGTTAAACTTTTGCTATTCTTAGCTTCCTTTGTTTCTTGGAGCTCACTCGTTATATTTGGGGAACATAGACTTACACATCTGATATCCAGCAAATTGAGAGTTATTTTTCCTCCTAACATTATGAAGGTTTAAAAAATGTACAGAAATCTCCAGGCATCGTGGCACATCTCTGTAATTCCAACCCTCAGGAGGATGAGGCAGGAGGATTGCTGCGAGTTCAAGGCCAGCCTGGGCTACACGGTGAGATCTTGTCTTGAAAGGAAAAGAAAAACAAAAAAATGTACAAAAATAGGTTAAGTAAAAAGTACTGAGTTACAAAACTAAATAAGAAGCCATTGTAATGTTACCTGGTCTTGGTAACCCAAGAACTTGCCTGGATCACTTAATGATCACACACAAGCCTGAAGGTGTTTCTAAAATGCAAGTGTTTACTGCAAAGGCGGATATGGCCTACAGTCAAGCCAGGTTACCATAAGAGTGTGAACAACACTGGGTTCCTTTGTCTTGGTTTCTTTTATTTTTCTGAACTTCCTGACGTTGGATATTCACTGCTGTACTCTTACATATTCATGAATTACCTCTGCCTTGTTTTCAATTTTGGAGGGTGTGTGTAGTTTCCCATTATTGGTCACTAATTAATTTATGCACTACCCATGTATGAGGCCATAAGCAGATGATAATGAGGAGAGGTCACCCCAAGGATGCTCGAGGCAATCAGGGCTCATGCTCCACTGCGTGGACAGTCCCTAGTCCTCCTTTGCACTTGGTTTGTAGTTCCCTCTCCACGTAGGGTTTTTTTTCCAGTTGGTTAAGGTCACTTCACATCCTAGTCCCGCATCTCACTTCCTGTCACTGCAGAGAGCGGCTTGTAGTTAACCAACCTCAGCCACGTGCAGAAAAGAACAATCTGTGCTGACTTTGAGACCCCAGCCCTCTCCCACCGTTCATGTTGGACTAGCTCCTATAGCAACAAGCCTCAGTTTCCAATTCCATAAAACGGGGTTTTCTGTCAAGGTCCGACATGGTATAAAATGCCTCGCTCAATAAATGTTTCGCACCATTATCGTGGTAATTGTAACTAGTGAGTATATGGAAATGTAAAAATGTGTGTCTCCTGGTCCGCTAGGAATGAAATAAAATCACTCTAGGAATGAAATAAAATTGCTCTTCAGAAAGTAAGGGAAAGCAAGCCAAGAGAGAAGGGTGAGGGAAATTGAATACTGGACACGGAAAAAATCTTATTCTGCTTTCTGTGTTCAAAGAACTTGTCTCCGTCATACGGCGTTTGCGCAGCAACGAGAGATCCGAGACCGCTGAACTGAAGGTACAACCCAGGGTCCGAGTAGGCGTTCGCCTCGCCCACCACAGGGGGCGTGGCCGGGGCGTGGTCACCGGCGTGCGCGCGCCCGGGCCTTTCCTGCGGCGCACGCAGATGACGTAAGCGCGCCACGATTCTTCCCTGAAGCGCCCTTGCGATACATTTCACGTGAGTAAAGTTTCTGCGGGTGGATGGAGTCCCTTTTCTTGGAGTGTTCCTTCGTCATCCATCCCATCTTCGATTCAGGCCGCATCAGTGTCCCCACCAGAACGAACTGGGGCCACGTAGGTCCTGCGCGCCCTTGTACTAGGTGCATGTTTTCATCTGCTTCGGCACGCGTTCAGCAGACACTACACGCGGGTGACAACTCCCTTTGTGTCATTATTCTTCAACAGAAATCTTGTAGATCACCTGCTTTTATTTTGTTTCGTTTTCATGTTTTTGAGATCTAGTCTTGTTCTGGGATTACAGGCGTGAACTGCCACTCCCAGCCGATCATCTGCTTTGTGTCAGGCATATGGTAGTCCAGTGGGGACACAGCCCTGGTGTAGACAAATCTTTACCTCTGGGGGCGGGGCTTGTATTTCATTAGGAGTGATAGATGAATATCTTAAAATCATTTCGGGAAGCCTGGCCTGAAGAAAGAAGAGCGTTCCTGCCTGGCGTGGTGGCGCACATCCTGTAATCCTGGCACTTCAGGAGCAGAGACAAGACAATCTCGAGTTCCGAGGTCACCCCTAGGCCACATGGGATGTTCAAGGCCAACACTGACTATATGTAGTGAGGATCTGTTTCAACCTGCCCTCATTAAAAAAATAATAATAATAATAATAATAATTCCATACAAAAGTTTTAACTTTCTTGTTTTAAATACCTGGGTTACCTGTCACTTGAGGATGAGACAGGAGGATTTTGAGTTCAAGACCAGTTTAGGCTACGTAGTGAAAACCTGTTTCAAATATATGTTCAACTGGGTTTGGTGACATATGTCTGTAATCCCAGTACATGAGAAGCTGAGGTACAAATCCCTCTGCAAATTAGAGCCACACTGGACTATGGTGAGTTCAAGGCCACTCTAAAGAACTCTACACAGCTAGACCCTATTTCAAAAGCAAGCCAAGAATGGTAGTGCATGCCCTTAATCCTAGCATTGAAGAGACTGAGGCAGGAAGATACAAGTTCAAGACCATCCTGGGCGATTTAGAAGGGCCCTGTCTCAAAATTGAAAATAAAATAAGGGCTGAGCATGTAGCTCAGTGCACAGGCACTGGGTTAGATCCCCAATTCTAAGAGGGACAAAAACCAGAAAAAGATTTTGTCTAGTGTGGAATGTAGAGCGAAGTGTAAGTCAGACAGTGATAAATACTACATAAGAAATTAAAATAGAATCTTTTTCTTTTTGTCGTGAGATAGGGTCTTGCTATGGGATTCAGGATGGCCTTGAACTCACTTTGTAGCCCAGGCTGGTCTCTTAATTTGCAACGATCCTGCTGCAATAGCCTCCTTTGTGGTGCTAGGATTACAGGAGTGTGCCACCACGCCTGGCTAAAATAGAATCATCTTATAGTGGCTCTTTAAAAAAGTGGCTAGTCAAGTAAGATTTTTCCAAGGTGAATTTCCTTGAAAGAATGAGCCATGCAAATATCAGGGCCGCAGAAAAGCCATCCAGGACTGAGCTTGGCAAGTTAGAGAAACAGAAGGTAGTATGATTGATATGCTGGAATTAAGACAGGTTAAAGATAGGGGTGGAGCGGTATGGAGTGGCTAGACTCTCCAGAGTCTAGCCAGACTCTCAACACCAGAGCGTTGAGTTGGAATTTGATGCTGTATGTGATGGGAACCCGTGATGTCTATGTTGACATGTGACAAATGTGTTGAAGTTGTGCAAAGGTGGGATCAGGGCTGATCAAGAAACCAACACAAGCACATGTCTTTTATCCCAGCACTCTGACAGGCTAGGGCAGGAGGATTGCAAGTTAAAACTCCCTCTGGGCAATTGAGTGAGATCTTACCTCAGAATTAAGGCAGGAGGCAGGGAATGTGCCCTGGTGCAAAGGCTCAGGAGTTCAGGTCCCAGTACCAAAAATAAATAAAAAGTAAAAGAAGCGGCCAAAGCTTAGACTAGAGTGAGATAGTAGAGATAGAAAGATGAGAGATTTGGAAGCTATTTAGAAGTAGACACACTGATGGATTAGGTATAGAAAGGGTGAGGCAAAGAACTAAGGTTGATTCCTATGCTTTGGGTTTTGTTTTTGTTTTGCAGGGCAAGGTGTCTCAAACCCAAGGCCTCAATCATGTTAGGCAAATATTCTAACAATGAATTACATCCCCACCTGACTCCCGTGGTTTGACTTGAGCACCTGAACACATGGTAGTAGTGTTTCTTTAGGTGGAGAGGTTTAGAGGAACAGGATATCTGGAGAAAGAATAAGTCAAAACTCCTGTTTTGGCCAAAATAGACTATTTGCTGTGTTTCTCAAACATTTATGTAGTGATGTTGTGTGAGCATTTGAATGTAATAACTGGAATTTTAGGGAGAGTGAGTATTGGGTAAAGTTACAGAATCCTTTGGGAAAGTGTTAGCTTGAACCACATGAAAGTATCATTTTCCATACTCTCCTTTGGACAGAGGAAAAAAAAAAAAAGAAAGTATCATTTTCCATCAAAAAAAATGGGTGAATGTTGATAATTCCATTGGTTCATTCTACGAGGTAACATTTATTTTTTGTCTGGGGTTTTTTGTTTTTTGGGTTTTTTGTTTGTTTTAAGATATGGTCTTGGCCATGTAGATTATTGTGGTGATTCTCTCCTGCCTCAGTCTCCCAAGTGCCAGGTATGTGCCTCCATGCCCAGCTCTGGTAGGTAATACTTAAAGCCATGGGACTACATAAGTTCACTGGAAAACAGGTAGAGAGAAGAGAAATAAGGAAAGATTCCTGGACAAAATTTATAGGTTGAGAGCTCTAGGAGCCAGCACAGGACACTGAGGAAGAGCAACCACAAGGTGGGGGGGTGACCAGGAAATGTCACTAAAACCGACAGTGGGGCTAGGTGTGGGGTGCGCTCCTGGCAGAATTAGGGAGTTTTGTTTTGTTTTGTTTCAGTACTGGTGATCGAACCCAGGGCTTTTGCACCGAACTACATCCCTAGGAGACCCTTTTCTTCCCCCTTTAAAAAACTGTAGCCCGGGCTCAAACTTCAGTCCTTTTGCCTCAGCCTCTCAGAGTACTGGGATTACAAGCATGTACCACCACACCTGTATCTAAGAGTTAAGTTGTTTTGTTTTGTTTTTTAAGAATTAGCCAGGCGTGATGGCACAGGCCTGTAATCTCAGCAGTTGGGAGGCTGGAGCACGAGAGAGGGGGGGGGCAGACTATACAAAACGAGACTGTCTCAAAAAGACCCCCCCAAAAAAATAGTGAAGAAGAAGAGTTGGAAAAGTAGTTGGAGACAGCTGCAGAAGGCCTTTGAATGTCAGCTTTACCTTTGGCAGGGATGGGATACTTTGAAAGCGATAAAGCAGAGGAACCATCATTGGTGTTTTCCAGTCGGCTCACATGAGCTCTTCTGGGTTTACACTCAGCTGCTGTCTTAGTTCAGGCTGTTGTAGCAAAGTACCATACGTGAAATGGCTTACAACAACAGAATTGCCAGGTGTGGTGGGTGGCACATCCCTGTAATTCCAGTGCTTGGGAGGCTGAGGCAGGAGGATTGCTGTGAGTTCCAGGCCAGAGTGGGCTACATAGTTCAAGACTAGGCTGAACTTCACGGCAAGATCTTGTCTCAAAAAAAAAAAAAAAAAAAAAAAAGAAACCGAGAAAAGCAGCAGAATTTAGCCAGGTTGGGCCCGGGATTTAGCTCAATGGTGTAAGTCAGTCTCCAGTACAAAAAAAAAAAGAGTTTACCCAGGTGCAGTAATGCACACCTGTAATCATAGCTAGTTGAGGAGCTAAGGCAGGAGAATTTTAACTTCTCGCCCAACTCGGCCTTAGTAAGACTGTCTCAAAATAAGACAATGAAAAGGGCTGGGATGTCGCTCAGTGGTAGGATACTTAGTATATGTGAACACGTGTGGAGCCACATGCTGCAAAAACAAGGAAAGTAAACGCTGGAACTCTCCCAGATACCTGGGACTGGAGTGGCAGCATGTTTGGGGTCCCGGCCGTCTTTTGTCAGGAGGGCCCCTTCCTCACAACCAATTACTGCGCAGGGCTCTATCGGGAGGGCTGTGGCGCAGTGCTAGATCTCTTGCCTTGCACACACAAGACCCTGAGTGTGTTAGGGATTAGAGTCTCAGGGTGTGAATGTGGCAGGGACGAAGACATTCAGCCGACGGTAGACACCATTTCTCCCTTGAGACTGTGACTCCTAAGGTGCGCTGAGCTGGTAGCCCAGGTCCCCTGTCCTTAATCATCCTGTTGTCGAAGCTCTGTGAGGGCGGAGGTTGCTGATGTCCTGTATTGCTAATGTGGCGTCTTTTTTTTTTTTTTTTTCCTTTTTTGAGATAGGATTTTGCTATGGAGTTCAGGCTAGCTTGAATTTGTAGCCCCAGCTGGCCTTAAACTCACAGCACTCCTCCTGCCTCAGCCTGCCTCCCGTGCGCTGAGATTATAGGTGTGCACCACCATGCCCCGTGCCCAAACTCTGTTTTCATTTTTTATTTTGAGCCAGTGACTCTGAGTTGCCCACTGTCCTCGAACTTGTACTCCTGCTTCAGCCTTCCGGAGTGTTGAGGTTACAAGCACGTGCTGCTGTGTCCAGCCTCATAGTGGCGTTTTTAGGTCCTTGCCTGGAGCCCCAATAAAGTACTGATGCTTCCAAAATGGGTCAAGAATGTGCTGCCTGTGCACCCCTCCCCTGAATCACTGGTGCCTACGTTTTTAAGAGCTTGATGTGGTGGCACGTGCATGTAATCGTAGCATTTGGGGGGCTGAGGCAGAGGATTGCCATGAGTTTGAGGCAGGGCTAGGCTACCTAGTGAGACTGTCTCAAAACAGACAAACTTACTTAAGAGCCCAGCGTGATGGTGTGTGCCTGTAATCTTAGCACTCCGGATGCGGAAGCTGGGCAGTTGTGAGTTTGAGGCTATCCTGGGCTACATAGTGAAAGCCTATCTTTTTTTTTTTTTTTTTTTTTTTTGTCTTTTTTGTTTTTATCGGTACCGGGGATCAAACTCACGACTGCCTGCTTGCAAGGCAGGCACTTATGCCGCTGAGCTAAATCCTCAGCCCCCGTGAAACCCTATCTTAAAAACATTGTATGTATATGTGTATGCTTGGTGATTGAACCTAGAACTTTACACACACCACGTGCGTGTTCCCCTATTGACCTACAGCCCTAAAGTCCACGTTTTACAGGATTAGTTATAATCCCCTTGTTTTTCTGACTGCTTCGTTTCCCCCCCCCCATCCCCAATGTCTTGGTTGTCTTTGGCATTTGAAATCAGTTCAGCAGAACAGATGGACTCTAGTTAATGCTATCTTTTTAGGAATTTAGTGGTTTCTCCAGCAAGAGCATCTGCAGATGGCCCTCGTGCTTCGATTTTACGTTCGCCCCTCTGACCACACGGGGGCAGGCTCTGAGCACAGTCTCCGGAGGCTGCAAGGGAAACTGCCGGAGCTGGAGAATGTGGAGACTGAGCTGTGCTACAACGTGAACTGGACAGGTGGGCCTGGTGGTGTTGGGTTCTTGAGGGAAGCGCCACGGTGCCGGAGTGGAGTCTCAGGTCGTCATTGCCGTCTCTCTGTAGCTGAGGCCCTCCCAAGCGCTCAGGAGATGCAGAAGCTAAAGTGGCTGTTCGGCTGCCCCTTGTTCCTGGATGGCGTTGCTCAGGAGTCTTGGCTCCGTCCTGGCTCCAGTGACCTGCTGCTGGAGGTCGGGCCCAGGTTCGTGTCTCCTCCTGGCAGCTTGTTCCATGTTCCAAGGCACATCCTCCATTCAGACTCTGCCTGCCCTTCTGCTTCCATTCACCTCTCTTCTCCTGTGCTCCTTGGAGATTTGTTTTTCCTTTGTCCCATCCTGCTTGCCACCTGGGAGCTGGCATGTGCTCTCCTTGTGTGGCCAGATGCCTTTGAAGACAGCCAGCTCCCAGGCATGCTCTGGGAGTAAAGCCCTTCACAGAAGTTGTTGCAGTCTTGATTCTCAGGGGATGGATGTGGTTTGGAGTGACATTGGAAGTCAGGGTTCTTTGTGCCCAGTCTGAGCTGGAAGCCAGTGGTGAGGGCCAGTGATGGGCAGGAGGCTAGCTGAACAGCATCAGGCAGGATCCATCGTCCCAGCAGAGGGCTGCCAGGGCTCACAGCCCCTAACCATCTGGCCTGCTCCTCAGGCTGAACTTCTCCACCCCAACATCCACCAACATTGTTTCCGTGTGCCACGCCGCTGGACTGGTGGCCGTGGACCGTGTGGAGCCCACCCGGCGCTATCGACTCTCGGTGAGGCAGTATGCGATTGGGCTGGCAGATCAGGAGGCTGAGATGGATCAGAGATGAATAATTTAGGTCCTAGACTCTAGGGAAGCAACGGGAGAAGCCAGGAAGAGGTCTGGGCTCAGGACTACTCTTTAAGGTTGTGCCGGTTGTTTGCACCTGCACATCCCTGGTTGAGTGGTGACTGGGACGGAAATCCAGCTCGTGCTCCGTGTACTAAGCTGTACACCACTGTGTGGACCCTGAAAGAGGAGTCATTTTGTAGTCTGAACAAACGTGCTGGGGGGCTGGAGATTTGCTTAGCCTATACAAGGTCCTGGGTTAAACTCCGAGCACCCCCAATAGAAGTTTCTCTGGGGGTGGCAGTGGGCTGGCTAGAGTAGATGATTCAGAGGGCCAACAATGGGCCATTTCTCATCGTTCTTCAGCTGTCATTTCTCTTCATGTGTGTCTCATCCTCAGTTTGCCCACCCTCCTTCCGCTGAGATGAAGGCCGTGGCCTTGGCTGCCCTGCATGACCGAATGACAGAGCAGCACTTCCCCCACCCCATCCAGAGCTTCCTCCCTGAGAGTATCCCAGCCCCACTCAGTGGCCCCATCGACATCCTGGGAGAGGGTCGGTCTGCCCTGGAGAAGGCCAACCAGGAGCTAGGTCAGTGGGGTCCCTGGGAGAAGAGCAGAAGGTCCAGGAGAGTGCTGGGACCTGCGATGGGGCGGCCTGAGACCTGAAGTCAGTTCTTCTGGGTTTGTCTCCCAGGTCTGGCTCTCGACTCCTGGGACCTGGATTTCTACACCAAGCGTTTCCAGGAGCTGCAGCGGAACCCCAGCACTGTGGAGGCTTTTGACTTGGCTCAGTCCAACAGGTGAGGAGGAATGAGTCATCCTTTGTATCTTTGCCCAGGAATTTGGGGGAGAAGACCACAGGGCTCACCTTCCATGCTTCCCTGCTGTGGGAACCTCCCCGAGTCTGTTTGAGGTCCTGGTTCCCACTTCCGTCCAGGAGTCTGTCTTCAAAGTTGGTTTCACTGTCACTTTAGTTGTGTATCATCTGTGATGACAAAGTGCTCTACCAAGATTGTTTTGGACTTCTTTCTTTGTTCTGGTTTTTCCTCATCTTATTTTTGGAGCGTATTTTGGTGCACTAAGGATGAATTGGCCGTAGCACTGGTGTTGAATGGTGTCGAGCAGAAACAGCACAGAGGGGTGGCCATGGTCCGACTTGTCCTCGCCCCTGTGTCCCCTTAGTGAGCACAGCCGACACTGGTTCTTCAAGGGCCAGCTTCATGTGGACGGGAAGAAGCTGACACACTCCTTGTTTGAAGCCATCATGAGCACCCAGGCATCCTCAAACCCCAACAATGTCCTCAAGTTTTGTGACAATAGCAGGTCAGCTCTGCCCTGAACTGGGGTAGGCTCAGGGCTGGGAGAGGGCAGGCCCCAGGTGCTGGCTGGGTTGGCACAGATGCCAGGAAGGAAGCAAGGTCCAGACGGATGTGTCCACAGTGCAATCCAGGGGAAGGAAGTCCGATTCCTGCAGCCTGAGGACCCCACGAAGCCAAGCTGCTTCCAACAACAGCAGAAGCTGAGGCATGTTGTCTTCACAGCAGAGACGCACAACTTCCCTACAGGTAGGCTGGTCCCCACGAGGGATGGGTGAGAGCAGAGTGGTGGGTAAGGCCGAGATCGAGCCTGGGTAAGCAGGCAAGCTGGCTGTCTTGTGTCCTTGAAGGCAGTCAGAGGTGGAGTGCTTTTCTGTGGCCCCCATGCTCCTCCTCTCTTTGCAGGGGTGTCCCCCTTCAGCGGGGCAACCACAGGCACAGGAGGCCGAATCCGCGATGTTCAGTGCACAGGCCGCGGCGCCCACGTGGTGGCTGGCACTGCTGGCTATTGCTTTGGAAACCTCTGCATCCCAGGTGCCATCACTTTCCTGTGTTCGTGGGTGACCCTAGCAGACACCAGCTTGGATCTCTCAGTGCACAGGGTCATCTGGGTGCCTTTCTCCTAGAGGGGGAGTTTTCACTGACGGTGATCGTAAGGAGTAGAGGCTGGGGAGATAGAGGGTGCCAGACTAGCTTTGCAGAAGCATGGTTTCCTTTAGAAAGTAGCGACCACTCACCCAAAAAATGTGACACTGGATTGGCCACCACTTGCTCCCAAAACCCAGTTTCTTAGGAAGCCTTTCAAGTCTTCCTGGGCATGGTAATGCACACCTGCCCTCTTAGGAAGATTACAAGTTCAAGCCCAGCCTGGATGCCTTAGTGACCTGGTGAGACCCTGTGTCAAAATAGAAAGGGCTGGAGATGTAGCGCAGTGGGAAGGCCCTGGGTTCAGTCAGTCTCCCATACCACCAAATGAAAAGGGCCGGGGATACAGCTCAGTGGCTAAGTGCCCGCCTGGCAAGTGTGAGGTTGGGAGTTCAATCTCTGGTACCAAAAATAAGGCAAAGAAGAAAAAGCTTTAGGGCTGGGTACAGTTCAGAGTAGAATTCTTGTGTAGAACATGTATGAGGCTCCAGGGTTGATACCCAGTTCTGGGAGAAAAGAGGCTTGAGAAGGAAGGCTGGTGTAGGAGTCTTCATTAGCAAGCTCTACACCTCTGTAAAATGGCACTTTCTGAACCTGATGTGACGGGACATGCCTGCTATCCCAGCACTTGCAAAGCTGAGGCAGGAGGATTGCCAAGAATTCGAGACCAGCCTGGACTACATAGTGAGTTCAAGGCCAGCCTGAACTACATCATGAGAACTTGTCTCTAAAACAAAACAGCTGGGGATATACTTCAGTGGCACGGTGCCTGCCTGGCGAGCATGAGGTTGTCAGTTCAGTTCCTGGTACCAAAAAAAAAGTGCCAAACCGGAAAACAGAGTGGAGCCTTCCAACCATGGAGTAGGCAGATGCCGGCTCTTCCATTTTCTGTACTTACGGTCCATTTAACTCTTTTCTTCCCTCCCAGGTTACTGTCTTCCCTGGGAGGATCTGAGCTTCCAGTACCCTGGGAACTTTGCCCAGCCCCTGGAGATTGCCATTGAGGCCAGTAACGGGGCATCTGACTATGGCAACAAGTTTGGGGAGCCAGTCCTGGCTGGTGAGCCTGAGGGCGTGGAGAGATAACAAATACCTAGTTCTAGTGGGCTGTGGTACTGGGCAAGTGCTTAGGAGACTGGGTGACCGGTCCCTTTCCCTCGGCTTTCTAATGTCCATGCTCCAGGCTTTGCCCGCTCCTTGGGCCTCCAGCTCCCAAATGGCCAGCGGCGAGAGTGGATCAAGCCCATCATGTTCAGTGGGGGCATCGGGTCCATGGAGGCTGAGCATGTGGGGAAGGAGCCCCCAGAGCCAGGTGAGAGCCTTCACTGTTCCCTGTGTCTATTCCCTTTCTCCCCGGCAAGGGCACTGTAGGGAGGGGACAGGGTGTTTCAGTGGTCAGCGTTTAATCTCTTGGCTCATGTTATCCCCACCCCCAACCACGCAGCACAGCTGCTCAAGGCAGAACAAGGTTCTGTGCCAGCCGGCAGAGTGGTCCCAATCTGTTGCCTCTTGTCTCCTCCCATGTTTACTTATGCCTGGCATGAGGGGGGGCCCTCCCCCCACCCTCGCTGGTCCCTGCTTCTGGGTCACACTTTGCTAGTCAGTGTTTACCCAGTACCTGCTGTGTGCCAGGGGCTGTTATCTGCTAGGTTGGTTCAAACAAGCAAAGGTTTACTGAGCATCCATTGTGCGCTGGGCATCACGCTAAGAGATGCAGAGGAATTGGGATAATTGACCAGGCCACCCAGGCACATGGCTCAGAATTCAAAAGGCAAAAGGTTGCAGGGGAAACTCCTCCTCCTGCCCCCCAGGTAGGCCTGTTTATCCCTTTTTTAAAACACACATACACAAATCTTTCAAGTAATCACTTTAATTCATGTCCCGTAAAATTCATCCTTTCAAAGTGTATGAATGAGTGTTTGTTTTGTTTTTGTTTTTAATTTGGGAGGTGGGTGTGAGACCGGGTCTCACTGTGTAGTCCAGGCTGGCCTCAAACCCACAGTGATCCTCTTGCCTCAGCCTCCCAAGTGCTGGGCTTCCAAGCTCGACAAGTCATGCTTTTTAGTGTGTTCCAGAGGCATGGTCTGTCACTCCTAATTCCAGAATTTGCATCACCCCAGGAAGAAATGCTGCGTCTCTTAGCGGCCCTCACCTCAGCCCTGGCCCTGACTAATCTACGTTCTGTTTCTATGGATTGGTTTGTTCTGGGCTTTCAGTTCCTGGCTGCTTTTACTTAGCATATTCTTTTCCAAGTTCATTCACATCGTAGCGTGAATGAGTTTCATTCTTTACTCCTCTCACCAGTTTTTTTCCGGCATTGTTCAACGCCTTTCCACCAGGCTACATCACTCCCTTTTTCCTGACCCCTTTAAATTTTTTATTTTGAGACAGTCTCAGTAGGCCGCCAGATTGCCCAGGTAGAGCTCAAATTTGTCATCTTTCTGTCTGAGCCTGCTGTGAGTGCGGGGAGTACAGGTGAGAGCCACCATGCCTGGCTTTCATTCTTTGGTTTTATTGTTATTTTTGTCATTCTTTGTTTTTTGGTCTTTTTCAGGCAGGGTCTCACTGTGCAGATCAGGCTGGCCTTGAGCTGGTAATGCTCCTCCTGCCTCAGCTACCTGAGTGCTGGGGTTATGGGCACGCTGCCACTTGGCCTGTTCCTTTTTAAGGCTGAGTAATAACTCATTAGCTAGGTGTGTCACCTTCTGTTTATGCTCCCCATGGTGAGTTGCTTTTCTCTTGAGTAAAGCATAACACCACTGCAAACACTTGTGCCCACGGCTTTGTAGGGATGTATGTTCTCATTTCTTATGTGTAGAGAACTCAGAAATTCTGGGTCACATAACTATGTTTAACTTCACAAGAAATTTCCAAATTGCTTTCCAAAATGCCATATCCCAGGGGCTGGGGATATAGCTCAGCAGCACAAGCATCTGCCTGGCAAGTGCATTGTCCTGAGTTCAATTCCCAGTATCAACAAAAACCCAAAAAAAACAAAGTTCCATATCCTCAAAAACATTTATTATCTGTCCTTTTGATTATAGTCCTCATGGTGAGTGTGAAGCAGGATCTTGTTGTTATTTCAATTTGAATGACTTTGCAGCTTTTTTTTTTCTTAAAGAGCTAGAGTCTCAGCTGATGTTGTGGCTCTTGTAATCCCTGGAAGGCAGAAGGATCACAAGTTTTAATCCAATCTGGGCAAATTAGTAATTTGGAAAGACCATGCCTTTGTTCATTTGTTTGCTTGTTTGTTGAGAGAAAGGCTCCTAGGTAACTCAAGCTAGGCTTAAACTCACTGTGTAGTCCAGGCTGGCCTCAGAGTTGGAACAAGCCTCCTGCCTCAGCCAATTGACTATTGACAAGCCAAGAAGGTGCAACACTAAACAATAGAATAAAAGTACCAGATAGACACTCAGTGCAGCAGTGCATACCTGTAATCCCAACCCTTAGGAGGCTGCCGTAAAAGGATAGAGAGTCTGAGGCTAGACTGAACAATACAGAGTTCAAAGCCATCGTGTATTATGTGATAGGACCCAGTCTCAAAAACACTACTATTTGCAGCTCAATAGTGGAGCATCTGCTAGTATATTCGAGGCCCTGAGTTCAGTCCTCAACACCACACACACACACACACACAGGCAATCGGCTGTAAGTATAGAAGCTCACTTTGGATTCATTTTTGTCCCATGATTTGTATTTCTGTCCTTAATTAGTAGGGCAGTGTCTTGATTATGGAGGCACCGTAGTAGTGGGACATAGATTAGTGGTGGCATGTGCCCAGCATGCGTAAGGCTCTGGGTTTGATTCCTGGTCCTGCCAAACCAAACACTCCAAAATAGGAAAGTAGTAAGACCGCCAGCTTTGTTTGTTTGTAGTATTGTTTTGAGTGTTTCAAGTGTCAACCTGTCAGTTTCTTCAGAAAGGTGGATGGATTTGTTTAGGCTTTGTGTTGACCCTGCAGATCAGTTTTTGGATAATATTAACAGTATTAAGTGTTTCAGTCTATGAATGTGGGGTCTCTTTCCATGTGTTTAGATCTTTTTTTTTTTTTTTTTTTTTTTTTGTCTTTTTCATTTTTATCGGACCGGGGATTGAACTCATGACCACCTGCTTGCAAGGCAGGTGCTTATGCCGCAGAGCTAAATCCCCAGCCCCATGTGTTTAGATCTTCTAAGATGTTTTACAGGTGTCAGTGGAAGTCAGTCCTACGAATGGAAGTCAGTCCTGCTGCTGCAAGTGGGCATATGTACTTATGTACCTTGTTCTACTTAGCAGTATGTCTTAGAAAGCATTACCATATTGATAAAATCACTTGTTACATTTAATGATTTGTGGCAGCTTAGTGTTTCATTGATGGACATACCATAATTTATTTGATTCTTTTTTTTTTTTTTTTTTTTTAATCGGTACCGGGGATCGAACTCACGACCGCCTGCTTGCAAGGCAGGTGCTTATGCCGCTGAGCTAAATCCCCAGCCTGATTCTTATTGCTAATACAAGTATGCATGTAGTATTAATCTTATACATAGTGATTTTATACTTGTGTGACTAAGACTGCAGAATAAATTCCTTGAAGTATATTTTCCCAATCAAAGCAGAGATGTGCTTGTGATTTTGATGGGCGTGTCTACGTTGTTCTCCATGGTGGCTGAGCTAGGTCACTTTCCATCAGCCTGGTAGAGTGTCCAGGTCCTGTTCCCCTCATGTCAGCTGCTCTGTTGTCGAGCTGCCTCACTCCAGGGGCCTCTGGAGGGGACTTCTCCCATACTCTGGTTCTGCCTCCCACCCTGCAGGGATGGAAGTCGTGAAGGTTGGAGGTCCTGTGTACAGGATTGGAGTTGGAGGTGGAGCTGCATCATCTGTGCAGGTGGGCGGGGAGCAGCTAAGGTTGCAGCTGGTGTCACTGGGCCCGTTGGTAGGTAGTATTTCGCTGAGCTGAACTATGCTTTGTGTTTTCCCCAGGTACAAGGAGACAACTCTAGTGACCTAGACTTCGGGGCTGTGCAGCGAGGAGACCCAGAGATGGAACAAAAGATGAACCGTGTGATCCGGGCTTGTGTGGAGGCCCCCAAGGGAAACCCCATCTGTAGCCTCCATGACCAGGGCGCAGGTGGCAATGGTGAGAGAAGCAGCTGGTCTCCTGCCAGGTTTGGTTTAGGAGGCGGCATGGAGGGTCCGTCATCAGCACCCCAGCTCTGGTCCTCTTCTCCAACCTTGTGCATTCTTGATACGTCTGGGTTACAGACGGGTGGATAGTGTGGGTGTGTCAGCCCCTCCTGCAGGGTCACAGAATTAAGTGGTGCTTCGGGGGCCAGGGGCTCCTCTTCGTTCGCCGGGAGCTGACCATGACTCCATCACCTCTGCTGCAATCCTTTACCAGGCAACGTCTTGAAGGAGCTGAGTGACCCGGCAGGAGCCATCATTTACACCAGCCGCTTCCAGGTGGGTCTTGCGCTGAAGCCATGTCATGCACCCCTGCCCGTGCCAGCCATCCTACCTGTCTCCCTTATTCTTGGCAACAGTATGAGCATGCAAGAGCGACTGTTCATTTTCTTTCCCCTCTGCAATGGCTGTGAAGCTGGGTGACCCAACTTTGAATGCTCTGGAAATCTGGGGCGCTGAGTATCAGGAGTCAAATGCACTTCTGCTGAGGCCCCCCCACCGAGACTTCCTGAGCCGCGTCTGTGCCCGGGAACGCTGCCCGGTTTCCTTTGTGGGCACCATCACTGGGGACAAGAGAGTGAGTTGGTCCCAGGAGCAGACACTGAGGGCAGGCTTGAGCCTCCAGGGTACATGGGATGGAGAACTGCCAGGGAGAGGAATGAGAGGACGATTGGGGCGGGGGATGCGGCGGGCAGGGAGAAGGCAGGAACCTTGCAGATGAAGGGCTGGAAGGAGTTTCTGCCCGATGTCTAGGAACATGCCCTGCCAGTGTTCCCCATCTCACTTTGGTCCTGTTGTCCACAGATAGTGCTGGTGGATGATCGTGAGAGTCCTGTGGGAACAAACGGCCGAGGGGATTGCCCTGCAGCCCCTCCCCCAACCCCTGTGGACCTGGAGCTCGACTGGGTGCTGGGCAAGATGCCTCGGAAGGTGCGTGGAGTGGGGGCGGGAATGAGCTTCTGGTGCGGCTCCTCCCAGACCTCCCCGTACCTGCCTGTGCTCTGGCACTGTGTGCCCAGCCTTCCCTGGCTGCTCACCCTCCCATGCTGCCATCTCTTGCAGGAGTTCTTCCTTCAGAGGGAGCCCCCTGCGCTGCAGCCCCTGGCCTTGCCTCCTGGGCTGACTGTGCGCCAGGCTCTGGAACGGGTTCTGCGGCTTCCTGCCGTGGCCAGCAAGCGCTACCTCACCAACAAGGTCCTCCCTGCTCAGCCCCTCAGCCCTCTGTCTTCTCTGCGTTTGTGTCCCTGGCCCCCCGCCCTAAGGGTCTGCAGTGGGAGTAGGAGCAGGGTCAAAACAGCCTCCCATCCTGTGTAGAGCTGTTCTCTGCACGGTGGGGGGAGCCAGGCCTCTCCACTGCCCTCCGTCCCTTAGGACAAGGGAGGAACGCCTTCCTGTCCTTCACCTCCTTGCCAGCTCTTTCTGATTCCACAGGTGGACCGCTCGGTAGGTGGCCTTGTGGCCCAGCAGCAGTGTGTCGGGCCCCTGCAGACTCCACTGGCCGATGTAGCCGTTGTGGCACTGAGTCATCAGGAGCTTGTAGGGGCTGCCACAGCCCTGGGAGAGCAGCCTGTGAAGAGCCTGCTGGACCCCAGGGTCGCTGCCCGGCTGGCAGTGGCCGAAGCCCTTACCAACCTGGTGTTTGCCCGGGTCACTGACCTCCGAGTGAGTTCCCCCACGTGTCTGTGCTGGAGCCCCCGGTGGGTGTCTGGGATACTCCCACATCCACACCCACCTCTGCCCACATTTCACTCTTGGAACCTCGAAGGCCTTCTGCATCTCCTGTCCCTTCCAATGCTGTGTTCCCTCTGCTTCCAGGATGTGAAATGCAGTGGGAACTGGATGTGGGCAGCCAAGCTTCCAGGCGAGGGTGCAGCTCTGGCCGATGCCTGTGAGGCTATGGTGGCAGTGATGGCAGCTCTGGGTGTGGCGGTGGATGGTGGCAAGGACTCCCTCAGCATGGCTGCCCGGGTGGGCTCTGAGACGGTGCGGGCTCCTGGTGAGGCTGGGGCTCCTAGGAAAGGGAGTGGGAAGGCAGCGTGAGGCTGGCAGTGGCTCACTCCTCTCCTCCTCATTCTGCAGGGGCACTGGTCATCTCAGCCTATGCTGTCTGTCCAGACATCACAGCCACTGTGACCCCAGACCTCAAGCATCCTGGAGGAAGAGGTAGCGCTTTGTTCCCTTCTTCCACGTATCATGTATGTTGAGCTTGGTCTTTGGCTTAGGGTCCACTGTGTTGAGTTCTGGGCTCCCCATCTTATGACTACACTAGGGTTGCTTTCTAGGGTTGGTTGTCTGGGCATCTTTCTGCGTGCTGGGAATGGGACTTCCCAGCATGAGCACCTTAGGGAGCGCTTCCTGAGCTGTTGGCTTCCCCTCTCCCCACCCCCTCTCCCAGGCCGCCTCTTGTACGTGCCTCTGAGCCCTGGGCAGCACCGGCTGGGGGGCACAGCTCTGGCCCAGTGCTTCTCCCAGCTTGGGGAGCAGCCTCCTGACCTGGACCTTCCTGAGAACCTGGTTCACGCCTTCAGCATCACACAGGGGCTGCTGAGAGGTGAGCAAGTCTGTTGCGGAGACAGTGGTGTGGTGTCAGGACATGGCAGGTGCTCACCGGCTGAGCAAGTGAGGGCCGGGAGAGAGGGGCCCGCGGGCTCTTCTCCAGTTCTGCGTGTGCCAGCCTTGCACACACCTCCTGGCTCTCCAGAAGCAGGTGGAGCCTCAGGCTCAGGCCGTGAGGTCGATGAGCATTTTTCTCCTTCCCTCCAGACCGCCTCCTCTGCTCAGGCCACGATGTCAGTGATGGAGGACTTGTCACCTGCCTGCTGGAGATGGCCTTTGCTGGAAACTGTGGGCTAGAAGCGGATGTGCCTGCCCCTGGGGTGGATGGTGAGGAATGAGGGGTGTAGAGTCAGGCCTGGACGGCCACCTGCACCCTGCAGACTCCTCTCTTGTGAAGAATGGAGTGAGCCTTTCCCCTTTCTCCAGCTGTCTTCTGTGCTTTCCTCCGGCGCCCACCATGTTTCTGACCGCACCCTTCGGGGACCTCCCGGGGTCCTTGGTGCAGCCTCCTCCGTCCCACCTGCCTTGCCCTCGGCCAGCCTGCCTCCTGCCTCCGCTTCCTCAGGCTTCCCGCCCGGTGCCCCCTCCCAGTCCCTGCTAGCACCCTAGTCACCCTGCCTCGCCTCCATTGCTCTCCCAGCACTGGCAGTGCTGTTTGCTGAGGAGCCAGGCCTGGTGCTGGAGGTGCAGGAGCCCGACGTGCCCGGAGTGCTACAGCGCTACCAGAGTGCTGGCCTCTGCTGCCTGGACCTGGGCCACACGCGTGAGGCTGGGCCCCATGCCCTGGTAAGGGAGCCAGGGAGAGAGCGGGACTCAGTGGGCAGTGGGGTGAGGAAGCCGAGGCCTCTCTGCTGCCATCGGGGGCTGTCCCGTCTCCCAGCGCCTGCTCGGCTTGCCCTCTCCCCAGGTCCGGGTCTCAGTGAACGGGGTCGTGGCTGTGGAGGAGCCTGTCGGGCAGCTGCGAGCCCTCTGGGAGGAGACGAGTTTCCAGTTGGACCGGCTGCAGGCGGATCCTCGCTGCGTGGCAGAGGAGGAGCAAGGCCTAAAGGAGCGGACGGGGCCCAACTACTGCTTACCGCCGGCCTTCCCCAAGGCCTCCGTGTCCCGGGAGCCTGGTGAGGGAGTGTGCCGAGGCCGGGGTTCACCGGGCCCGCCCTGGGAGCACCCCGTGACCTAGAGACGCTTCCTCTTTCAGGTGGCCCCAGCCCCCGAGTGGCCATCTTGAGAGAAGAGGGCAGTAATGGAGACCGGGAAATGGCTGATGCTTTCCACCTGGCTGGCTTTGAGGTTAGCAGGCTGCAGGTGGAGCTGGGGGCCCCGATCCACCTCAGGCCCTGTCCTCTGATGCCTCTCCCCCTGCCCTGCAGGTGTGGGATGTGACCATGCAAGACCTTTGTTCTGGGGCCATCGGGCTGGACACGTTCCGTGGTGTGGCCTTTGTGGGTGGCTTTAGCTATGCCGATGTCCTAGGCTCCGCCAAAGGTGAGTAGTGTACGGGCTTCTGCGTGCTGTTCCACCACATCCCGAGGATTGCAGATTGGCCTCCCTCCACCACAGAGCCAGGGCTCAGTAGGCATGCTGCTCAGGCCCAGGTGCCAGCAGAAGACCTGAGGGTAATTTAGACCAGGCATCGGGCTGGATGGGATTGTGCTAACCTGCAGGCCATACTTCTAGCCAGTGGGGCCGCTGCCATGCAGCTTGAGCAGATTGTTATGCTAGAAAGATGGTTTAACATGGCCAGATCCTTCAGTGTTTCAGGAGAAACCAAAAATTTGGAATCTTTGTATGAAATTCATTTTTAAATGTTAGGTGGCTCAGCTGGGCGTGGTGGCTCATGTCTGTAACTCCAGCACTAGGGAGGCTGAGGCAGGAGGATCATTGGGAGTTCAAGACCAGCCTGGACTACAAAGTGAGCTCAAGGCCAGACTGGACTGCATAGTGAGACTCTGTCTTGAAAAAAACAAAAAAAAGTTAGGCAGCTGGGCATGGTGGTGCATGCCTGTAATCCTAGCACTTAAGAGGTTGAAGCAGGAAGATTGCCAAGAGTTCATAGCTAACCTGCACTACATGACAAGATCTTGTCTCAGAACCCGCCCCCCCCCCAAAAAAAAAAAGCAAAAAGCCAGGGCTGCCTCTAATCTCAGCACTCAGGAGGCCGAGGCAAGAGGATCGCTAGGAGTTCAAAGCCAACCTGAGCTACACAGTGAATTCAAGGACAGTTTGAATTACATAGCAAGACCCTCTCTCAAAAACTCCCACAAAATAAAAGATAAATGTTAGGCAACTAAGTACTATAAAAATTTTTAAAAATTGCTAACCAAAAGTGTGGACCCGGACTGTGAGGCAGTTCCTGCCTCTCACTTGCCCAGAATTTGCAGGAGTGCTTGCTGGGATAGAGGAGCGGCTGTGCCCTTTTTCCCGGCTTCCTCTTTCCCACATCTCACCCTGACTTTTCTGTTCGCTCCTAGGGTGGGCAGCTTCCGTGACCTTTAATCCAAAGGCCAGGGCCGAGCTGAGTCGCTTCCGGAAGCGGCCGGACACCTTCAGCCTGGGGGTGTGTAATGGCTGCCAGCTGCTGGCTCTTCTGGGCTGGGTAGGAGATGACACCAGGGAAGAGGCAGGGGCAGTGGGCCAGGACTCCTGGCCTCCCCAGCCCAGCCTCCTGCTGTGCCACAACCTGTCTGGGCGCTACGAGTCTCGCTGGGCCAGTGTCCGTGTGGGGCCTGGGCCGGCCCTGATGCTTCGAGGGATGGAGGGCGCGGTGCTGCCCGTGTGGAGTGCCCATGGAGAAGGTCAGGCCAGGGGAAGGACAGGCTGGGGGGCAGGGGTGCTGAGGGAGCTTGGCTTTCAATTCCGTCTTCCTTCCTCCTAGGTTACATGGCGTTTTCTTCTCCACAACTCCAGGCCCAGATGGAGGCCAGCGGGTTGGTTCCTTTGCACTGGGCAGACGATGATGGGAACCCCACAGAGCAGTACCCTCTGAATCCCAATGGGTCGCCAGGGGGTGTGGCTGGCATCTGCTCCCGTGACGGCCGCCACCTGGCTCTCATGCCTCATCCCGAGCGAGCTGTGAGGCCTTGGCAGTGGGCATGGCGACCCTCTCCGTTTGACGTGCTCCCTACCTCCCCCTGGCTGCAGCTCTTCATCAATGCCCGGGACTGGACCCAGGGAGGCTGCTAGGCCTGCTGGGAGGCGCCTGCCTGCTCCTCGGTGCCTGAGCAGTGCTGCCCTCCCCACTGCATGCTCCTCGTCACCTTCAGGAGCTCTGCACATGATTCCCAGACACCTCTTGGACAGACAGGGACCAAAGTGCCGGTCCAGTTGCTGCTCAAATGCTGGGCCAATTGCCTTTTCTGCCTGCTTGAGCTCTGCGGAGCTAAGCTGTTCTCAGGGCTTCTCTGCTGTGGGGCTGGCCTCCTCACACCAGGGAGCAGGCCAGGACTCTGAAGAAGGAGGCTGCGGGCCAGGTTAGGGTTCGGGGGATCAGCAGGGGCTCCCTTGGCCTTGCTTCGCTTCCCCATCATCACCTGCGTCTCGTTCCCTCCTTGGGGCGCTGAGGGATGTTTCATGTCCCCCTCTGTCTTGTCATAGGGCTCAGAGTCTGGACAGCATGTAGATTAGCCTCTTCTGAAAACAGCAGGAGCTTCCTCAATTCCTTTTGAAGTGTGCAATCCTATTCTAGAGCTGTATTACCTGAGCATGTCTGGTGCTGTCTGCAGTGTGCTGTCCTAGGTGTAAAGGATGCTGTTGTCTCTGACACGGTCTGGCCTTGTGTCGGGCTCTGAGCTCAATATCTCGGTGTGTGATTCTCCTAACTTCGCTGCTCCTTGGTTCCAAGAAGGGTGCCCTCGGTGTATTGGTCTCACCTTATCATTCTTTTTATTTTTTTGGTTTTTTTTCTTTTTTATCGGTACCAGGGATCGAACTCACGACCACCTGCTTGCAAGGTGGGTGCTTGTGCCACTGAGCTAAATCCCAGGCCCTCCACCTTATCATTCTTTTTTTTTTTTCTTTTTTATTGGTACCGGGGATCAAACTCACAACTGCCTGCTTGCAAGGCAGGTGCTTGTGCTGCTGAGCGAAATCCCTAGCCCCCCACCTTATCATTCTTTTTTTTTTTTTTGTCTTTTTCCTTTTTATCGGTACCGGGGATTGAACTCACGACCGCCTGCTTGCAAGGCAGGCGCTTAAGCCGCTGAGCTAAATCCCCAGCCCCCGCATCTTATCATTCGTGCCCCTTGGTGTTTTTTCTGCCAAGCAGTGGCATTGCTCTTCAGGAATTTATGGTCTAACAGCATTTAAAGTAATACGCTGAGCATAGTGGGACTGCCTCTAATTTCAGCACCCAGAGACCAAGGCAAAAGGTTGCTGCAAGTTTAAGGCCAGCCTGGACTATAATACAAGACCCTGTATCCAGCTATTTTTTTTTTTTTAAATACCTGTATATAGCACCACTGAGCCAAGAAGGTACACACTTATTTTTTTCTCCTCTACCTGGGATCAAACCTAGAACTTTCTCTTGGGCAGGGGATATAGCTCAGTGGCATAAGCGCCTGCCTGGCAAGCGTGAGGTCATGAGTTCAATCCCCAGTACCATTAAAAAAAAAAAAAAAAAAAAAAAAAAAAAAAGGTTAGTACAACAATTATAAGGGGCTGGGGATTTAGCTCAGTACCTGCCTTGCAAGCAGGCAGTCGCGAGTTCGATCCCTGGTACCGATAAAAAAAGAAAAAGACAAAAAAAAAAAAAAAAAAAAATTAGAACTTTCTCACTGAGCTACATCCTTTGCCTTTAAAAAAATTTTTTTGGCAGGTGTGGTACACGCCTGCAATCCCAGCATTTGGGAGACTGAAGCCAAAAGTTAACCAAAAGTTCAAGGCTAGCCTGGGCCACATAGTGAGTTCAAAACCAGCCTGAACTACACAGCAAGACCCTGTCTCAAAAAAAAAAATTTTTTTTTTTTTTCAATTTTGAGACAAGGTCTTGCTAAATTACCCAGCCTGGACCTGAATTTGCAATCCTCCTGTCTCAGCCTCTCAGAGTGCTGGATTAAGGTACATGCCAACATGCCACGCTTTTTCCTTCTTTTTTTCTTTTGAATTAAGGTTAAGTACATAGGGTTTGTTTGGTTTTCTGTTTTCTGTTTGGTTTTCTGAGGCAGGGTCTGGTCGTATAGTTTAGCCCTGCCTTGCACTCACTGTGTGACCCAGGCTGGCCATAAACTTACAGCAGTCTTCCTGCCTCGGCCTCCTAAGCGCTGGGATTTAAAGTGCTGAGGGTTGGTCAGACACCTTGAATGACTGCGGGGTCCCTGCTCGCCCACTCCCTGCTGCCTGGAGCAGCATCCGCAGGCTTTCTTGCTGCCTGCTCTCCTCAGCGCCTCTTGCCTCTGCTCATATAAGTGTGTAGAGCTTGCTTCCTCGTGATGGTTCTGTGGTGTAACTGCAGTCAGTCGGCTCCCCGGAAAGGGACTTCTGGATTAAAGCAATTTCCCTGGAAATGGGGGCTGGCGTCTTAGATCTGTGGGAATGTGCGTCTGCAGGGGGAGGAAGGGTCAGCACCGTGCTTCAGGCAGAGGGGTAAGGAGAGGTCATGGGACAGTGCAGAGTGGTGGCGGGTGGGGCTGGCGGGTGGCTCAGGGGTACAGCACTTGCGTCCGCAGTGCTGCAGAAGGGTTTGTTTGTGGGAAAATGTCTGGCCTTTTCTTACTTCTTTCCGAAGGGAGCAGCCCTGAACAGTGCGGTACTCCTAGGGATCATTTTTCACAGTTGAACAGTCCTTCCTGCTGCTGCTAGGGAGAAAAATATACTTATTTTAAATTTATAAGCTCAAATGTGCAGTTTGGGTGCTGACATCAAGGCTCAGGTGTCAGAGTGACTAAGGCTAGCGCGGGCAGCCTCGTTGGCTGTGACAGGTGAACTTGCATGTTAGGAGGTGGAGTCATTTCTGGTTTGGTCACCTTGCCAAGCAGTACTGACCCTCAGGCAGTGCCAGGAACAGGGCCACTCAGCTTATGCTGTTTGGTTTGTTTTTTGAGAGGGTCTGGCTGCATAGTCGAGCTGGCCTTGAATGCTTGGGGACCCTCCTGCCCGGACTCCCAGGTGCTAGGAGATTCCAGGCCTAGGCCACCACGCCCAGCAGTCAGCTGTGTTTTCATCCGCTGGCTCTACAAGCCTGCCCTTTCTTGCCCCTGCCCCAGCTTTTGTTTCTCCTCCTCCCAAGGGGAAAATGATGGTGGTGGTGATTGAACCTCAGGACCTTTGCACTGAGCTACATTCCAGATCCTTTTTTACTCTGAAACTTGCCCAGGCACGTTTCCTTCTTTCTCAGCCTTCCAGAGTGCTGGAATTGCAGGTATGCGCCACCACGCCTGGCTTCACCAGTCAGTCTTACATCAAACAGTGTGCTGGCCAAAGATCTCTCCAGTAGAATATAAACACGAGTATGAACCCAGGAGCTCCATTTTCACATTCCACTGCCTCCCGACTGCCTGGTACCCTAGCGTGTGTTGGACAAATGTGTATGACTGTTTAAATTAAATTAGTACAGGCTGGCGGACTGTCCTTCAGTGGAGTGAGCTTACTGGGTCTGGATTGGGGTTACAGGTGGTTTGGCTCTGTGTATCGCAGACAATTTCCCCCTTCATTCCTCCAGTCTCTCCAGTTTACAAGGGTTTTTTTGTGTGTGAGGGGGTGGGCTAGGGGTTGAACCCAGGGCCGCTACACTGAGCTATGTCCCTAATTCTGTTTTTGATTTTTATTTTGGGACAGGGTTGTCACTAAATTACCCAGTTTGGATTCACATTTGTAATCCTGTCTCAGCCTCACAGCGTGCTAGGGTTACAGGTGTGTGCTCTGCCCAGTTTAATTTTATTTGTTTTATTTAGTGGTACTGGGGATTGAACCCAGGGCCTTCACACTGAGCTACACCCCCAGCCCTTTTTTCATTTTTAATTTTGAGGCAGAATCTCAATGAGTTGCTAAATTGCCCAGGCTGGTTTTAACCCGGTCTTTCCTTGGCCTCCCGGAGTGCTGGGATACCCGCATGTGCCACCACTGTGTTCAGAGGGCCTGATGTCAGGTCAAATGCAAGATGCGGATGGTGGTGGCGAGAGACAGGAAAACCTGAAGTTTCTTAGTGTGATGCCTGCCAGGCAGCCAGCAGGGCCCTTCAGTTCTATGGGAAGATCGTTGAACACACCTACTGCTACTTTGTAGTCAGTGCCAGGTTGCTGCAGGGCTGGGTGGGCTGGTGATGGGCCCGGAGACTCGTAAGTGTGGGCAGCAGGGCCCAGATGAACCACCTGGTGGGGGCTGCCTTGCTGGGAAGTCCCCTGCATTAGGGCGCCTCTGCTCCCCAGGCCAGCTCCCCCAGTGGTTTTCACACTGGGCCTGGGCAAGGGGCAGGGACTGGAAAGGGGCACCAGGCAGCTGGGAGCCCGTCGGCTGGGGAGGGTGTCTTCCCAGCAGCTGAGCCACCAGACTCGGATTGGTTAACCATGTCCTCACCCCCACCCGCGCCATCTGCGGAGTTCAAGATTGGCAGAAGCCCAGCCATCTTCATTCTGGCATTGGACAGGTGGGGGCAGTAAACACCACATGTGCAGACCCAAGTACTGCTGTCCGTGGGACAAGGGCAAATTTTAGAGTCTTGTCTGGGCTTCAGGAAATTTTCCTGTGAACAGCCCTCGAGAATGCTGTACATGGCCACCCTGACCTACCAGGGGCCCGGGCCTCGGCTCCCGCGGTCAGGCTGGAGGAGCAGACAAAAGGACAGTGATGTGTGACTGAGAACCATTTGGCAGCAGTTGTTGAGCTCTGCCCAGGGGACGCATGATGGAGGCAGCCTTGAGGCAAGCAGTTTCAAACAAGTACTGATGGGAACTCAGCAGGGGACAAAGGAACCTGAGGTCCGCCGTGCTGGTCTGAGCAGAGACCCTTCAAACCCTTCTCCCTGTGTGCCTTCACACCTGCTGCAGATGAGCCACCCTGGGCAGTGAGGCTCTGCGCACAGCTACACTCCAGTTCCCAACCCCTGTCCAGATCTGCCCTTGAGAACACACCACTCCTGTATGCTCAAGCCTTTCCTGGGTGCGTAGCCGTAACCTACTCCATGCTCTCCACTTGGAAGCCCTTTGTGACTTTCTTCTAACCCCCTAACCCCCAAATTTATGCTCCTGACTTTATAAAGACATAGCCTGTATAAAAGCCAATCTAGCCAGGCATGGTGATATACGCCGGTAATCCCAGCACTTGGGAGGCTGAGACAGGAGGATCATAGTAAGTTTGAGACCAGCCTGGGCTACAAAGGGAGCCCAAGGCCAGCCTGAAATGCATAGTGAGACTGTCTCAAAAAGAAAACAAAACAAAAAGCAACCCAGTCTGGTCACTGCTGCTGGTGAGGTCCCTCTCCGATTTGTTGTAACATAAACCTGTCCTGTTGAGCTCACACTCCTACTGCATATGTCCCACACTTGGGATTAGTGAAGGATTCCCTGGGTGAGCTGAAGCCAGAAGGATGCACGGAGCAGTTCATTACGTGAAGGGGCAGAGACGGCACTCACGGAAACTACTTGCAAAGCCTCAGAGGCAAGAGACAGAGTCACTTAGGGAAATGAACAAAATTGAGTCTGTCTGGAGCATTAAGGACAAATGGGAAACAGAACAGGCAAAATCAAAGGTCCAGCAGGACATGGTAAGGGGTCTGGGAGTTAACCTAGAAACAGGAAAGCATGTGAACAAGTCCGTAGAAGGGATAGACAGGAGCAGATTTGTGATTTTGAAGATTACTGTTGCTGCAGAGGAAAGTTGGAGAGAATACGGGAAGTCCAGGTAGAAGGCTACACAGGCAGAAATAATGCAGGTCAGGACCAGGGCGGAGGTGATGGAGAGAGCCCATGGTAGGGTAGAATCACCAGGAAGGGGGCGGGGGGGGGGTGGCCAACGATGACCCCCAGGCTTCCTGCTTGCGCCACTGGGCAAATGACCACTCCAGCAGCAGTGGACAGGTAGCATTGGAGGTGTCAGTGGGACACACAAGGGGTGGTACCCAGGACACAGTCGGAGGGGACCTGGAAAGGTTTGAGGGGCGCTGTGAGGAGAGGAGAGTTTCTGAGGGAGAGTGCGCAGACCTGGGAGCCTCACTGAAGGGGTTGGCAGCCGAACAGGAGGCTGAGAAGGAATGAATGGCCACCATGAATGTAGTCAAACTGGTTGAGTGGCTTGCCGCTGCCTGTTTCTGGAATGTCCTGGGATGCCCTGGAAAGGTACCTGGAGCAACAGAAGAGAGTGGGGAGCTGCCTCGTTCTTTCCCACCAAGTCCTGGCTCAGCTGGCCCTATCTTTCCCTGGAGGCAAACTCTTCTCTCCCTTAGATCCTTTCCCAACCCTCATTCCTGGACATCTCACCTGCGGGAACTCACGAGGAGGTGGCCTGGGCCAGGTAAAGCAGATGACATCAACCATGTGGTGCTTCGGAGGCTGGACTCGGGGGACTTCCAGAGGGATGGCACCTTCTAAAAGACTCTGAGGGAAGGAATAAGGGGCAGCCCCACTGGGTTTAAGAACGGGTACCTTAAAAAAACTAGACCAAACCCCCAAAACAGGTACTTTGTTGGCATAGTGGAGTGTGCCTGTAACCTTAGCTACTTGAGAGGCTGACATAAGATGAAAACTCAAGACCAGCCCAAGCCACTTAGCGAGAGCCTATCTCAGATTAAAAAATTAAAAAGACAGGATGTAGTTCAGTGCTGAGGCCTTGGATTCAATGCCCAGCACCAAACACACAACAATAGCAACAACCACAACAACCAGGGAGCTTGGCTGCCTTCTAGACCAAGGAAACCTCACCCTGCCCACAAGGGAGAGAGGGAGAGAGGCCTGTCCCTCCCTATGGCAGTCCACAGGATCAGGACAAGCCACAGGGTAATACCTGCCGCCACGCACCATGTCTGCCGCCTGCTCCCCCCAACTCTGAAGTATGCCCTGAGAAACAGGCATGAGACGACGAGGGTATGTGTCTGCTGAGAAGTCACAGCAGACAGTTGTGGGAACCGAGGTGGAGGAACACCTCCCTCATGTGGGGATGGGGAGGTGCGTGCCGCTGGCCAGTGGGCACCCACTTGCCTTTCTGCTTCCTGCCATGAGCTGGAACAGCATCAGCCATCACCAGAATCCAAGCAGATGTGGCTGCCTTCTCTCAGACTTCCCAGCCTCCAGAACTAAACTGTTTTGTTTTGTTTTTCAGACATGGTCTCACCGTGTAGTTGATTGGCCTTGAATTCACCTTGTAGCCTAGGCGAACCTCAAACTCTCAGAGATCCTCCTTCCTCAGCCTCCCCAATGCAGGCACGCACCAGCTTCATTTGTTTATGTTCAGCTTTAGAACTAGCCCCGCCCCTGACCCACCACCCCCTTACTCCAGCCAGTGCTGGCATTAAACCCAGGACTTCACATAGGCCTGAACTGTTTTCACAGTACTGGGGATAGAACCCAGGCCCTTCAAACTGAGCTGCATCCCAATCCTTTTTTAGGTTTTTATTTCTCAGACCTCAGTTTTTAGCTTTCAGAGCCTTATCAAGTTGCCCAGATCGGGCTCAGACTTGTGCTTCTTCTTTCTCAGCCTCCTGAGAAGCCAGCGTCACAGGCTTGTGGCCCTGTACTCCATCTTCTGAAGTTACAAACTGAATAAATCTCTTTTCCTCTTAAATTGCTCACTGTTGCTTATGCTGTTACAACAGCAGCAAATGGACTAAGACGAGCCCAAAAGAGATGAATGGCAGCCTCAGGGGCTTCATGGTGGAAAGTGGAGGACTCAGGGTCCAGGGGCCAATCTTGTGGCTTAGGGGCAAGAACCCCTAGGGCTACAATTTCCCCTTCCTTCCTCAGCACCGAGCCCTCCGGGTTCCTGTCTGTTCCCGACCTTGAGCAGGTCTCTACCCTTGAACCAGCTCTTCATTCTCACTGTGTACCTGCAGCTCAGCCCGGCTGCTTCTCTTGCTTACTGCTTATCTGGCTTCGTCTCTTCTGCCTCTGGCTGTGCCTGCCTAGTGCAGAGCCTCCTCATTCCACAGGTCTTCCATCAGCTGGACGCCAGACACAAACCTCAGAGTCCCCCGGTCACTCTCACTGTGACAAAGCAGAGCTGTGTTTAGGACTTCCTTCGATCTCTATGGGTTTGATAATTCACTAGAATGACTCAGAACTCACGGAAGCACTAACTGTGCTTAAGACTGCGGTTTTATTTTAGAGGACATACCTAGGTAAGGTTGGGATGAACTTCCCAGGATCTAACTTTCATGTTCTCTTCCCCAGAACTCAGGGAGCATCACTGTTTGGCGCCAACTGAGAAGCTTTTGCCAAGGTTGTGTCCAGAATTTTTGGGTTTTTGTTTTTTGGATGGTGTCTCATTATGTAGTTCAGGGTGGCCTTGAACTCACTATGTAGCCCAGGCTGGCCTCAAATTTGCAGGGATCCTCCTGAATCAGCCTCATGAGTACTGGGGTTACAAGTGTGTACTGCTACACTTGCCCAGATGGGTTTTATTTTACTGACACCAAATGGGCCAAAGTTCCCACCCTCAATTGACACACACACACACTTCAAAATATTCCTTCTAGGGATGCATAAACTTTACCCAACTCCCAAAAGTGTCCATGGTAGAAAAAAGGCTAACTTCTGAGCATGGTGGCACATGCCTGTAATCTCAGTGCTTGTGAGGCTGAGGCAGGAGGATCATCAGGAGTTCAAAGCTAGCCTGGGCTACAAAATGAGACCCTGAGCTTAAAAAAAAAAAAAAAAAAAAAAAAGAAAGAAAGCTGAAAACTTTACCAAATAGAAATATATGGCCCAAACAATTTCCAAAGGAATGCTTGGTGCTAGGTATTTGTCATCTCTGGTTCAGGTCCATCTCTTGGTGCCCTCAAAGGGAAAGCTCTGGGACATTTGCTTCTAATGCACACAGCATCAATGGCACGCAAGGAAATAGGCAGGAGGATGCCTTAGAGGCAGAGTCAACCAGTTATAGATCTGTTACAGCCACTAGGCTTAAGCTGGACAGATAGACAATCTCCTGAGAAAAGTAGCTACAGGCCACCTTGTACTGAGATTTGTCCCCTGGGATATGTTATCCCGGCCAAGGATTTCTCTGGTGTTTTGAGAAGTGATGAGCAGGAGACCTTGCCAAGTCTGCACTTCCAGCTGAGATCCTGTCTCTTGAGAGCTTTGTGTCTGAATAACTGGAGATCCAGCAGGTCGAGGGGCCGGCAGAAGTGACACAGAGAGAGGAAAGCGGTAGTAAGATGGAGCTTTGTCAAGTCAGATTAGCCTTTCACCTCGCCCCCTGAGGAGATCTGGCCAGATGCCTATGCCTTCCACCAGCTGGAAGAGCTCACCTTACCCTAATCTATACCAAGAGCTCACAGAACTGTGGAGGGCCAGGAATTCCCAGCAGCCCAAGGCCCACAGCAGACATGAGACATGCCAGAGACTAACAGTGAGGAAGTTGGGGAGCTTTTTCCTCAGTATCCCTAATAAGACTTCTCTGCCTGACCCATGAATAGGTTTCTATGGCTTGTGTCCAGTGCTAGGACCCTGCCAACTTGTGTCCTTGGTAGTACCTTTCGGAGGAATTCTCATCTGCTTAACTACTCACAAAGCAGCCAGAGCCAATACTGCCCTCCGTGGGGAGGGCAGAGAGGAGAGAGACAGAGCACTTGGTCACTTACTCCCCATCTGACAGAGGCAGCTTGGGGAAGACCCCTCTAACCGGGGTTCCTGGGAACCCACAGAGAGATTCCTCCCTTCCCTTTGGGACCTGTTGCACTCCTCTCCTCTCTGGAATTCTTCACAAAGCAAATCTAGTTCAGAGTCTTTGCCCAGAAACAGACTGAGATTCAACTACAGCCATAACTCAATCTTAACGTCTTAGATGAGAAAGGCTCAAAGAGAAGCTTGATGCCTGCACTAAGAAATGCAGTCCAAGCTCCTTAGAGGGTTTTACAAAAATCCTGCACACCTGGCCTCCTCCAAACTGATAATTTGCCTTCCCAGAACACGTCCTCTCATCCTCAATTCTTTGTCCCTTGCTTGTTCCTCCAACTAGAATACCCCAGGATGCCCCGGTGAATTCTCTGAATCAAGACTTAATGTGGGGGCCCAGGGTTTAGCTCAGTGGCATGAGTGCTTGCCTAGCAAACATGAGGTCATGAGTTCGATCCCAGCACCAAAAGACTTAATGTGGGCCTCTGGTTCACTCTCAGTGAAGCAGGTGTCCTAGTTCCCTTTGCATCGAATAGGGACTTCTTCACATAGGGCCTAGAGGGGCAAGGAACCAATAAATATGCACTCTTGGTTTCCCTTCATTAAATTATTGGGCTCCACAGAGCCTCAAGGTGAGAAGCCTTTGCCTAGCTCTGGTTGTCACCTGTGGTCATGGGTGACCTCCTGAGTTCCAGCCATATCCATTGATGGGTTTATTCAATCATTGCACCATATATGAATGGCCTGTTGTGCTTTAAACACTTTGCCAGGTGCTGGGGATTAAGGATGAATGCAGAAATTAACCAGGGGGATAAAGTTGAACAAACACTCAAAGAACACTAAAAATCTGTAAAAGAAAAACAAGAGTTTAATTCGTGCTTCCGTCCAGGTGTATAGGGGACCCACCCCCCGCCCCTTCTCCTCCTTCCCAAAAGAAAGATTTAAAGATTTAGGGAGATTAGCTCTGTAATCCTCAGGCTGGGAGTCACTTTCAGTAAAATGTGACACCCACATCTAGCCCTATTGTTTTTCTAATTCCAGATGGGATCCTGAAACTGGTGGGCTGGTTGGCTGCCCACTTGTCACCAGGAAGCCCCAAAAGCCCTAAAACTATTCTCCCTCGACTCTGAACACTGCCTACAGTTATTAATGTCCCTAAAGAGGTCTCAAACGACCCTAGAAGACGCGAGCCCTTTAAAGTGGGGGGGGGGGGAGGCTGACAGGTGCGGGCTGGTGAGGACGGAAGGCGTCACAAATCCTAAACAGAAACCTGAGCTGCAAGCCCGACCTCGCGGTCCCACCTGGCGCCCGCCATCCAGCGGGCCTCGGAGACCAGAGCTGCTGGCTCCGCCCCCAAAGCTTGGGCTCCGATTGGTCGGTGCGGTGGCAGGGCGGGACCAGCTCTTAAAGGTCCAGGAACTAAGATTACCCGGAGGAGGCGGAGGCAGCAGCGAAACCTAGGGAGGGGATGCCTCGTAGTCGCAAAGATTTCTTCTAAACTGTGTAAAGCCCATACCCTAGTGGCCCATGGAGCCCACAACAGCCTATCCACTTTTCGGGGGCGCCTTCTCCGCTGTCTTCCCCCGTGGGGCCATTGATGTAAGGTGAGAAAACCCAGGCGCCAGCGGAGGCCGACTGGGTGGGTTGCGGGAAGAAGCCTGGAAACAACCAGGATCTGCTTCGGCTCTTCCCAGCGACCTCCGACCGGTCCCGGACAACCAAGAAGTTTTCTGCCACCCCAGGACCGACCAGAGCTTAATCGTGGAACTTCTGGAGCTGCAGGCGCACGTGCAGGGAGAAGCGGCTGCGCGGTGAGGAAGGGGCTGGGCTGGCCAATGGGAGGGCCGGAGCCGAGGAGGTGGGCGGGGCTTGGGGTTGGACGGTTAGCAGGAAGGGAACACCAAGGGCCATAAACACTGCGAACGGAAGTGAAGGGAAGGTGCTGGGGTGGGGGTTGGAGGGCAAGCTCCTAGAGAGTCGCATCTCTCATTCTGCTGTCCCAATCCAGGTACCATTTTGAGGACGTTGGGCGGGTGCAGGGGTCGAGGGTCCTGCAAGTGGAATCTGTGCAGCCCCTGAATCTGGAGAGCCTGGCCTTGAGAGGCTGCTGTCAAGAAGCCTGGGTCCTCTCTGGCAAGCAGCAGGTAGCTAAGGAAAACCAGCAGGTGAGGGCCAGAGAGTGTGTGATGTCCTGGAGCGTGGAGGGGCGGGGTAGGGATCCAGGCAAGCGTCCTGACTCTGATCTCTTAGGTAGCAAAGGACGTGATACTGCACCAAGCCTTGCTGCGAGTACCTCAGTACCAGACTGACCTTTTGGTCACCTTCAATCATCCCCCGTAAGGAGGAAAGAAGGGGCGGGTATCTCCTGATTGGGTCTAGGCTGGACGGGCAGAGCAGGGAGCCTGGCAGGTGATGTCCTCCCAGGAGGCAGAAGCGGGCCAGATGCTTGAGGTCACAGATACCTGTGTCCTCTGGGGAATAGGAATTGGGAACTTCCAAACCTCAAGCTTGGATGCTGTCTTTTCTCCCCTTATTCCTTCACCCCCAAGCCCTGACAACAGGTCATCTCTTGGCCCTGAAGGTCTATCACCTCCTTCCTGGAACCTGGGTGACTTTGAACAGCTGGTGACCAGCCTGACCCTTCATGATCCTAACATCTTTGGTCCCCAGTAAAGATGCTGAAGCACTGCATGATGCTGCTAAGGACTTAGAGATGCAGTTCTGGGAGGGAACAAAAAGAGGGTGAATAGCTGGGTTTCTTCTCCCCCTGCATAAACAACAAGACATCTCTGCAGAAATAAACTTACTTTATAACCAATGTAATTTCTATGCCTTTGAATCATAAGACACCTGGGTTCCCCCAATTCCCTTTGGCTTTGGACGGGGAAGTTTAAAGCTGTTCACATGGGAGCATTAGGGACCCAACGCTGGCAATAAAGAGGGCGAAAATATGCTTTGGAGTGAGTGGTTCAGCCCTGAGAGAGAGGAGTGTACAAGGGTGCCGAATGTACAAGGGTGCCGAGTGTACAAGGGTGTGGAGTGTACAAGGGTGGTGGAAATGTGAGAGCAATGTCTAAGGGACGGAGAGAAACTACTGCTTGTAGTGAGGCAACCCTGAGAGAACAGATGGGGCAGTGGGGTTGGCTGTCCCCTTCAATGACAAGTAACATGGTCAGTAGCCTCCAAGCTATAGTAGGAGGCAGAAGTGCTGGTGGAGTGTGGGGAGGAGGCTGTTATTTCGTGTATGTGTGGTAGAGGAAGCGAAGCTGATCCCAAAAGAAGAGGGAGAGGATGGTGTGGGGGCCGAGACGGAAGTAGGAGGCACCTATACCCTTGTACATGCCAAAAATGCCCTCTGTCCGAGCAGTCTGCAGCAGAGCGTCCAGGATCCCCCGGTACATGAGGCCCTGGATCACGTCGGAGAGGAAGGGAGAGCACGGAAAAGGAGGTGGTCAGAGCCCTTACACTTGCAGGCTGTCCCACATGTACCCACAGTCTGTGCTCCCACCCCGGCTTTCCCTGCCTGCCCACACCTGAAGCACGCCTTTACCTTGCCCTGAACATCTGTGGGCTGGTTATAGAGCCTTGTGCTGGCTACATCAAACGGGGTCATGGCCAGGACTACTGCGATGCCACTCACCATGGCAGCTGCCAGAGCCACCTTCCAGCTCTGGGGAGGAAAGATCTACAGCGTAAAAGAGGAAGAACCTGGTCAGTCAGCCCATCATTCCACCCTTAGGACTGGACAGGCCATGCCCGGAAATGCAGAAAGGTGTAAGTCTGAGAGCTTTTACTCTAGCAGTTAGAACAGTGTGACAGCTTGGTTAAGGAGGGAGCCAGTGTGTCCTGAGGGATCCGTTATGGGAGGAAAAGACAAGAGGACTGTGGGGAGAGTCCCCAAGGCTTCCTCTTGCCCCACGCCTCTGGATGTTGGCACTGTCCCCTCAAGGCCCACCTCCATTTGCCCACCTCCCTCCTTCCCAGGCATGGCCTACCCCCTTCCCAGGTTGTACCTCCCACTGGCTCAGGAGGTCCTTGGTGGAAGAGAAGGTGCAGAGCTGGGTGGAAGAGCCGACGGCAACTCGGGGCAGACTGCCCAGGGCCCCTCGCCACAACCCGACCAGTCCATGTTTCTGGCCAATCTCAGTTAACGCCTGAAACATGCCCTGGTAGGGGGAAAGACCGTGGAGGTGGGGTTTAGTTACCTGTGGCAGGGTCTGCCACTTCGTAACTGTCAAGGATTGGTCCTTAGCCCAGTTCTTATCCAGACAACCATTGCAATATGGGCTCAGGACCAGCATGTGGACCCCTCAGGTGTCTCCAATCCCTTGCCACCCTGGAGCAGAGACGCAAGGACACTGCTGGGGCAGGACAAACGGAGCAGGAGTAACAGACGCAGAAGATTTGAGGAACAAGCACGCATGAAGCTCTGGGCGGGGGTGGGAAGTGGGCTCCTGGGGCAGAGAGCGCTCAAGGGCTGGGCAAAGCTGTGGCCAGGATTAGAGCCACTGGATGCAGGCAGAAAGCAGGGAAGAAACGGGAAGGGATGACTGAGCAGGTCTGGGCACCTCTCACCTGATGCCTATACTGGTGCCCTACGGCAATTTCAGAAGCCGCTTGTGCCTGGAGGTGTGTCTTCACCTGGAAAAAAGACAGTGTCACAGCCATGCCCACTGGCCATCTTCCCACCTAAGAGACCCCTCAGATTCCTTTAGGGTATTAAGCAATGAATATCCTTTTAAGTGGATAAGTATTGTTGTTTCTACTTAATAAATTGGTCATGAGATGCTGTCCCTTGGCTCCAGTCCCAGGGAACAGATCTCCTAGCATTGCAAGATACTCCACACACACATCCTCTTTCCCTTGGGTGCTGGGGGTGGGGGTGGAGAGGCTGGAGAATGGCAGTGTTTCCTAAGACAGCACTTTATGTTAGGCAAGAGCCGGGTGCCAGGCCTGTCATTTCTGCTCTAATTCTCAGATCAGAGCTGCTGCCACCTTGACCAAGCCTCTATCGACTGGCCAACGGTGCTTGTGGGCCCCCAGGACACATAGGGTACATGTTCAACTGACTTTGGAGTGCCTTTTCTTTTTGAGATAGTCTCAAGTGATCCTCCCTCCTCAGCTGCTGAGGCTGGGACTACATCACAGCTGGCTTAAGCTGACTTTGAAAAGGCGCTGATGCTCACAATTTGGGAGCAGACCAGGTCACCTCACCTACAGAACTCTGCTCTTATCTGCACTAAGCAGGGCCTCGTTCCAGCAATCAGCAGCTGTGTGACCTTCAGCTGTTTGCTTCACCTCTCTGGGCTTCGGGCTCCCAGTGCTTCACTTATATCTGATCGTTTTTCAAAGGAGCAGGCTACGTATGCAGTTGTGATTATGTGATCCCAGGACCTTCCTGATCTCTATTCTTGCTGATGAATGTTCCTCAAATTCCGCATCCTCGCCTAATCAAACTCAACCTCAAAATCAGGTAATAACTATAACACAATAGCAGTAATACGATCAAACGCATACTATTTGTCAGAATTTATCCTAGTTCTTTACATGTGTTATCTCCCTCAGTCTCTCAGTAACCCCACAGGAAGGGTCTTCACTTCTCCCCATTTTACAGATGTGGCAATTGAAAGTCAGCAATAAATCAGTTTTCATTTTTATTGCTGTTTTTGTTTTTTGAGACATGGTCTCACTAGGTGGTTCAGGCTCACAGTGTTCCTCCTGTCTTAACCTCCTGAGTGGGATTACAGGGGTGGGCTACTACGCCTGACCAAATGAGTTAATTTTCAAAAACAGAATTTGAGTCCCAGAAAGGCTGATTCCAAAGGCCATAATCTTCATCACCACAACTGACTGAATCTGTTGGTTGGATATATATATATATATATATATATATATATATATATATATATATAATTTAGGGGCGGTCAGAAGGCCCTAAGTCCTGCCGACACTTTCCTGTCCTTCCCTGCTTGCAAGGGGACAGCATCCAGGTGCTTACACTCTTGTGAAGGACCAGGCTGCCACTCCACATGTCCCCAAGGCCCCAAGCAAGACCCTTCTTCTTACCATGTAGATGGGGCTTCCCAAATAGGCTCCCATGACCCCAGCCAGGGCCCCAGTTGCAGCACTGCGGACAGGACTGAGGGTGCCTTCTGTCGTATGCAGGTAGCCACTAGAATCGGCCAGCCCGTAGGTGCCCAGTCGGATGCCATTCATCAGGAACTGGTACAAAAGCGCAGGGGCCAGGCCCTTCTGCAGGGCAGCCAGGCCATCCACCCGGCCAATGGTGAAGAAGGCATGGAAGACGTTTCGGTAGTGCCGCTGGTAGGTGCCCGGGGCTTTCAGTTCTCCCTGCAATTGCATCCTGGTCTTCACAACCTCCAGGGGATTGGTGAACACACAAGCCCCGCAGGCTGCCACACCACTCATCAAGAAGTCCATGGTGAGACAGCAGTAGCCTCAGAACAGCGGGTTGGAAATCAGGGGAGGACCTCAGCTTCTGCAGTCCAGGCTGCAAGAAGTAGGAATTTAGAGCTGTAGAATCGAGCGTCAGGGTCAAATGTCACGAAGTCAAGGGTGAGCTGGAATCTGGGAGTCGGGACTTGGCAAAGAGAGAAGATGCGGGCAGGACAGTCTGTAAGAAGGTTATGGCAGGGCTGTTGGCCGAAGGGTTTGAGATCAAGCAGCAGCAGAAGTCAGGAGCTGGCAGGTGGGATCCTGACAGGCTACGGGGCGGGGAATAGAGAGGGGAAACGAGCTGGGAGAGAGAAGCCAGAGAGGCAGGAGAAAGAAAACCACAGGAGGCGAGGGATCCGGGAAAAGATCCGGGGTGTCCCTGCGACAGCAACGACAGCTGGATGGAAGGCAAGCGGGGTCCCGGCCTGTGACGAGTGTCCCAAGGTTGCTTCGCGAGCCCGGAGCACCTCCAACCCGGGTGCCTGCGAAGATCAGGCCGCCACGCTCCTGTCGCTGGAGCGCGGCGCCAATCAGGATCCTGGCAGAGCTGCAGCCAGGAGCCTCGGCCAATCAGCGTCGAGCCGGCTTTCTGGCCAATGGGCGGCGTCCAGGGCGACCGGCCCCCCAGTATTCCCTGGAGCAGTTACGGTAGAATTAACTCTCCCCGCCCTGGCGCAGGGGCCTGAGGCAGACCCGGGCTCCTGAAGGGACCCCGGGGGCGCGGAGGTTCGGTCACTGGCTGGGAGGAGAGGCTGGACCCTCGGTCCGGGGCTGGATTCGGAGGCCGAGCCCGGAGATAGCAGCTGAGGGCGGTGGGCTCCTTCTTTCGCCCTCTATCCCGGTCTTTTTGGCCTGAGGCTGCCTAACTTCATCCGCACCCTGTGCAGTCGGGGTGCTGGGGTGGGGGAGCGGAAGCTACCGGCCGCCCGGAGGGACGGCGAACCCGCCGGACCCGCCCTTTCTCCCGAGGTAGAACGAAGCGGAATGAGACGCTTGTAGGTCCCAGCGTCTGGTGCGGCCGGCTGAGGGCGCCAGAGGAGGAAGCCTGAGGACAGCGAGGGAGCCGGAGCCGGTTCTTAAGCTCTTGTTCCTCGCAGCCCAGTGCAGGAGAGGCCAGAGCTAGATTTTGTTCCTTTCTATGGTCCGGCGTGAGTTGCGGAGAGCCCGAGGGTGATGAGACGTCCTGATTATCTGGACTGTTGTACTTTCTCACGATTTGGGTTAATCACGGAAGAACCTCGGAGAAAAACAGCTGGGGAGGAGTTGAGAGAAAAGGCTTAAAGAATTGTGGCGGGGGGGGGGGGGGCGGGGGCGGAAGGAGCCGAGATGGTGCCGCGGGGCTCCCCCTAGCTGCCGCCCATCTGCGTTCCTGTTTGGATCCTCCTGCCTCCTGCCTGAATGACTTGGACAAATCGCTTCACATCTCTTGTACAATGAAAACGATGTCTGTTACACACCCTAGAGGAAGTGCAGGACTTACGTGCTCAATAATCAGCTTTTTTGAAAAGTCGGAACTCAGTGTCACTTCCTGAAATCCCCTTTTCCCCACCTTGTGGCACCACCTCCTGACTCAGGAAGCGACTCACCTCCTGTTACGGGGTTTTGGGGGTGGTGTTTTTTTCTGGAGGTGCTTTCTAGGTTCTTTCTGTTCTGAGCAAAGAATTGGTCAAGACAAGCACAAACAATAACAAAGTTTTCTTAAAAGTAGTGTTACAATTGAATGGACCAATAATAATCCAAGTTCTTGTACCACAAAGAAAGCGTTGCGGATCATACAACCAGTAGTAGGTAGCTATGTTTATTGAAAATCACAGGGAAGGTAACAGCAAACACAAGGAAAAGGGAAAAAGGGTGGGGAGAGAGGCCAATAACTCAGGCTTTTAGCATTTAAAGGCCAGGGCTTTAGGCTCCTCCCATTGCATCTCGCTGTTGTATAAAGCATGCAATCTCCTAGACTTTTGCTGTGTTATTTTTAAAAATCTCTCTTAGAATAATAGGAGTGTGGATAACACAGGGTGCTGTTTATAGTCAAATGGAGGGAAGGGTATGACTCTTCCAACTCCTTTGTTTCTAACTGTACTACTCAGGGGTGAGAGGAGAAACAGGTTCTGCAGGGCAAGTTTGGGCCAAGTAAAAGAAGTACACCACAGCAGTCCGGCAGCCAGCAGGGAACAGCAAACCTAGTGGCCAAATCGCAATGGGAACTGTCCTTTTATCACCTACTCCTTAGGCTGATCAAAATGTGCTACAGTTCGTATGACAAGTCCATATGCAGGGCTTTGGAAAGAGTTCTGTGCCTGTGTTCTGGGATCTTGTCAGACTTCTTTCCCAGGCAGTTTTAGCTATGTCCTACTTACCTTTTTAATCCTGGTCATTCATTTACCCACGTTTTCATTGTAGCTGTTGATTTTCCAGATTCTCCCTGGGAGTTATTGGCTGCGCTGGAAGCCAAGTCTCAGTCTCCATTCTGCCAGTGTACAGCTTGATCATGGGAGGAGCCATGACAAGATGAATCAAGTGGGGGATCTTCAAGGTATTGGAGGGCTAAGTAGAGCAGGTAATGGGGTTCCTGATATCCCAGGAGGGTGCTCTCCAGAAAAATTTACAAGGATGCAGCCCAAATGACCCACCTGAGAGGGAAAAAGATGACTTAATATTTTTTCTCCAGAAGTTGGTGCTGTACATTAGTAAAAAAAAGAGCTTCGTCATCCTGTGCTATGTTTGCCAGTGCCCAAGTTATATGACCAAATTACCTGTTAATTCCCTTCGCAAAATGCAACTATTTTCTACAATTGGACACCCTGGGGCACCAACCACATTGTCGTAAAATAACTGTATCGTTGTCGTACTGTTCTGAATGTGCCATCTTCCTGGGTGACCTGATTGATATGTTAACCTTTGTTCCCTTTGTGAAGGACAATTATTAGTTGACCTCGAGTTACCTATATTCCTCTCAACCTTTGTCCCCCTTTTATAAAAGATAGTTGATCCTAAGATTAGTAGACAAAGGGCTGTAAATTCTTGTAAAGAAAAAAATGGCTGACCACCAACTGGGAAACTTCTCTGTCCTCAAGCAAAGGGAAACAAAGGTCTTCTTCATTGTTCTTTCTATAAAAGTCTGTCAAAATTTTAAGCCAGTTACACAGCTTTGCAAACTCCAACTGCACTGTGTTGCTGGTGCCAGGATAAATAAAAAGCACTCCTTTTTCTTTTTTTTTTTTATTAGTTTTTTTTTTTTGTCTTTTTCTTTTTTATCGGTACCAGGGATCGAACTCATGACTGCCTGCTTGTAAGGCAGGCGCTTATGCCACTGAGCTAAATCCCCAGCCCCCGCACTCCTTTTTCTTTAAGAAGACATCTTGCCCCGTGTTTTGGACAACATTTTGGGGTCTCATTTTTGGGGTACAACAGTTGGCATTGGAGATTGAACCCAGGGGGCAATGGGTGACATCCCATCCCTACTCCTCTGTGCTGATCAATATTCCCAGCTTCAAGCTGTAGTGTAGCTCATTTCTCTGAGCACAAACTCTCCACTCCTTTTTTTTTTAAGCTCTCCACTCTTGAGAGCCTCCTAAAATCTCTGTTTAACAAACCCTTCCTGAACCTTAACTGACGTGTCTTGAAAATTTTTTCATTTTAGGAGTTAGTGAAGCTGCAAAGTTACTCTATACAAGGGTGAATGAGGCTTCTCATCTTTTTTTTTGTACCAGGGATTGAACTCACAACCTCGTGCTTGCCAGGCAGACGCATATTACTGAGCTAAATCCCCATCCCAAAGGCTCCTCATCTTCTCTTTAGCAACCTTTCAGATCAAGCTGGGGTAACAGGACTGGTGGGTAGGATTACCCAAGATCCCTATTCAACCTTCCCCTGGGGAAGGTTTTACATCATGCCACACTTTGCCACAGTATAAGGTCCAGGGTGGACAGCAAGCCACTGCTGTGCTGGAACTCCTGGCCGCCCTAAAGCCAGTATCAGTAAAAGAGCTAATGAAGCATTTTAAAGTAAAACAAAATAAGATAAACCCAGTGTAAGGCTCGATTTGGACATGACTCTCCCAGGACCCAACCCGTCCGCCAGCAGTGCATTGTTGTCAACTAAGCTCCCAGGCTGCCTTCAGCAAACAGGCACAGGACGTCATAAAAAAGATAAGATGGAACAGGGAGTCTTCCAAACACCCAGACATCTGAAGACACCCGAACATTTACACTGGATGCCTCAAGGACTTTGTCCACTGAGGCAGGAAACATCCAGAGAACTTTGACTGTTGAGGTTTACTAAGATCTTCCGCGCTAATGTCCTTTGTCTTCTTTCAAATGCTGAAAAAAAAAAAAAAGCCTGCTTCTCTTTGCTCCTTACAGATGGCCTTTTCGCACTCTGTCTGCACCCAGGCACAATAAATTCCACATCATGTTGCTTTTATACATGCCTGGCAGTCCCAGTTGGTCTCTGTCATGGGCTTTTCCTCCTACCCGCACTCAGGAGGCTGAGGCAGGAGGACTACTGTGAGTTCAAGGTCAGCCAAGGCTATGTAGTAAGTTCAAGGCCAGCCTGAACTACACAGTGAGACTCTGGTTCCAAAACACCAAAAAAATATAAAATAAGACAACTTACTTGAGGGTGGAGAAAGAAAAAAGGAGAGAAGACATCAGCCTGCTATTCTGGATGAGCAGGGCGTATTCAAAAGTGGAGTTCTTGTATGAACTCCTTCTATGGAGATCCTAGTCCCATGTAGGCTCCTGGAATCTGACTGGCTCCCTGGCTTGTCTTTCATCCCAACCTTGGATTTCTTCTGGACAAGCAACCTTTCCCTGTTCTTTGGGGGAGGATAAGATTCTGGGTGAGCACCTGTGGACAGGTAGGCAATTTCAGCTAAAGGATTGAGTTGGGGGGGAAGTTCGAGATTCTTAGTTAATCATGCTACCTAAGAACTCCCCAGCCCTTTAGTTCTTTGCCTTTGTCTTCCTAATGGCTTGTCTAGTTGCCTTTGTTTTTCTAATTCCTCAGGATCTAGCTGCCTTTGGCCTTCTAATTGATGTAATCTGACTGCAGAAGTCACCAATCTACTGATTTTTCACAGAGCTCAGTGAGGCCTTCCTCCTATCTTTTCCCTACCTACAGTGACTCCTGTCCCTGTATTTTCATTGGGGAATGTTTTAGACTTGGTCAATAACTCACATTGGAGTGTCTTTGCAGGCAGACACATCTGGGAGAACAAGAAAGTAGATATATGCATACTAACTCGTTACTAGGCATACACAGATGTAGTCCAGGCTGTGGGGTACTCAGGAAAGAGCTGCCAAGTGCACACCCAGTAGCAATTACATTTTTGTTTGTTTTGTTTTTTTGTGACAGGGTCTTGCTATGTAGTTTGGGCTAGTCTTGACCTCACTATGTGGCCCAGGCCAGCCTCAAAATCCTAGCAGTCCTCCTGCCTCAGCTTCCTGAATGCTAATGATGTAGGAGAAACACCCAACCTACTAGATGACTGGTACGAGTTTGTGTTCTCTAAAATCGAAGAATGAATTTTAGGAACAGTGGAGGTTAAGAGCAGAATTATCTATTGAAAGCAAGAAAGCTTCTGTCTGAGAGAGAGACAAAAGGGGTCCCGAGTGGGTTGCTGAGGCTCGTGCCTTTTCCTGGTATTTTTTTTTCCTGGTATTTTTATAGAACAAAATCACAATGTGAGGTGAGACCAAGGTGGGAAAAAATGGAAACTATGAGATGGGACAGAATTATGGCCAACCAATAAGATTACAAGTATAATTCCGCAGGTAAGATTGATTAAATAAGGATCCAATAGGGAGGTGACTCATGTAGCAAGCAGGAACAGGGCTTTTGCCTATAGGGTTTGGGATTAGAGGCTTCTTCTGGCTTCCTCAAGGTGATCAAGGTATCAAGGTAGGGTTTAGCTCAGCGGCACAAGCACCTGCCTGGTAAGTGCAAGGTCAGGAGTTTGATCCCCGGTACCAAAACACACAAACAACGCCCCCCCCCCCAAATCAAGGTGATACCTATTTGAAATACCAGTATCAGAGGTTTGTGATTAGACTGTGGCTACATTTGTTTTGTCTTTTGTCTTGAGATCTGGCCCGCAGTGGAGGTGTCTGTCCCCCCCACAGCTGTAAGGTATCTGGTCTTTCGCATGGGCTCCTATAAGGGTCCAGCCCGGTCTGATGGCCTATACTTCTCTAATTCAGCTGCCTGTCACACTGGAATTACAGGCATGTGTCACCATACTGAGAGTCTTTAATTTTCATCCATGTCTTTATGAATCATTTAT